GTGTTAGGTGATTTCTGTACTTCAGCATAATTTGTGTTGTGGTAAATAAACCAGGAAGGTAATACTTTAGCTCTACGTAGGCACATATTTAATATGATACGTAAACTGCTTAAGCCAGCTGGCCAGTGTGCCACTCTGGCTGCATTGCATTTTTTTTTTTTAATCCAAAATTCTGTTTTCCAGCAAAACCTTTGTGTGTTTTAACTTTTTCTTTTGTTTTGAATTGTGAAATTAATGAAAAATTAGTATGGCTAATTCCTGCCCTGTAAGAGGTAAAATTTGCAGTTCACTGTACTTGTATAAAACTGACAAAGTAGCCTTTTACTATGCCCTTTTTTTCTGTAGGGAGAAAACAGAGGAAGAAAGAATTAACATTTTCGAAAAGTGACAATAGAAAGGCATGGTAGATTTTATCTCTTTTCCTCTGTATACATGCATGCCTATTTCCTGCACACACATGTAGCTTTTTTGCTTCCTGTATGGCATTTGTTGCCTTAGGGTATACAAAAGTAATTGTACAATTGCCTAGTCAAATATGGCCTTGTTTGATGAACACCACGCCCGCTACTCTTAAAAGATATTAGATATTTATTCATTAATCTTGCTCCTAGAACAAATCATATCTGACAACATGATAAATTATATATTTGTTATTCTCCTTGTAAATTATTCTCACAAACACAATCTACAAAAAAAAACCTATGCAGAAAAATTTATTCCTTTCTTGTCAGTGGGAGAGATCAGGATTCTAACAGTTTTCACTAGAGGAGACTTTAGAAGTCTCCTCTAGGCTGCATGGACCTTCAAATATGTGTCTTGATGCAGCTTTTGACTTGATGCCAGCTACCAGTACAGTTGCTTGTACTGGTAGGTCTGAGACAGTGAAAGCTTATAGCTATATTTGGTTTAGAATGAGGTAGCTTAAAAATCTGGCACACTGGATTGAGATGAGAAGCATGTATTTGTAAATTAGGTCTACTGCTGCCATGGGCTTTAAGTATACTTTTGTCCTATAGGGTTTAAACCTGCTTTTACTTTCCTCAAAAGCTTCTGTGCTGACTTAGCCTTCTTCCATTGCGGCTTCAGTGTATTCAGCCAGAGCTATGTGACTGATTCTGATGGAACTAAGTGATCTTGAAGGTCCCTTCCAACCCAAACCATTCTATGATTCTGTGACTGACTTCATATGCCAGATAGGTACTTCCCAGACTTCTGTATTCTGTTTGCATGAAGGCATGACCATTGCAAGGTCTAATACAGTTTTGGTGTTACTTTATTGAATGGTTTTGTGTAGCCTTTTCTTAACAGTGAATGGCTGTTAATTTATCTGTATTCATCGCCTATAATTAATTAAACTTCTCTGGGTGTGGTTAAAATGTGCAATTTCTTTTAAACAGCATCTCTATATGTATTACATGTAGATGCATGTACCCGCCTTTCATCTTCAGTGTAGAATGACTACAAAATACTGAAGCACACAGAAGAATTGTTAGCCCTGTTCATGTAAGACAGACAAATGATCACATACTTCAGAATGTTGTAGAAAACCTAGGTATTTAAAAATCTCATTTCTCCGAACTTCTCTAATACAAAATGGAATTACCTATTCATTACATGTCCTCTGCTGTTTGCCTTACGATCCTCGAAGGTTCAGTTCTTTGTATTCAGGATGAAAATTGTTGATTAAAGGTGTGAAAGTTGATGGTAATTAGGGTTGTGTTGTATGCTGAAGTTAGTGTAATTCATAACAGTTTCTTATATGACTCTGCATGTTAGAAGCATGCATTTGCAAATCTGGCTCATATTAAATTGCAGTTCATTTTTATACACAATTTCACAGAGTATGTGCTTTAAAAATGTCGTTGAAGCATTCTGGGTAATAGTTCTCAGGTTTTAAGTGGGAAACGTGTAAATACCATTCTTATCAGGCTTTGGTGAGCTGATTTTTTTATATGGATGTATATGCTGTCTATTGCATATGTTCGTGAATGTGAAGTTCTTGCATTCAACTGTATAAAACCAAATTCACTGCTTCCCCACATTGTGTTTTCGGACAATAGATTATTACAAAATAAACCAGCGTAGTGTTCAGCTCTTTTGTGACAAATGGGTATGCCTTTTAGGTACTGTATTGCAGGAGGCAATGTGGGTAATTTTGAGTCTTCATAAACAGGGGACACTTTTTGTTTGCAGTTTTGGTGTTTTTTTTTTTCCAGAATTTAATGTAATACAAGAGCATAACACCACATCCTTTGGCTGTTGTCAGAAAGTGGTGCATATATATCCATGTTTCTTACAGCACTCTTATTCAAGATTTAAGTGGTTGTAATTTTTTTTTTTGCCTTCTAAAACTAGACTTATTTCTGTACAGAGTTTTAATACAGTTTAGATGATTAAATGTTAGTTTATTGAAGCTTCTCCAAATGTCTTCATATAAATATGCTAATTTATTGCTCTTGAAAAATCTTACCTACTTCATTCTAATTTATATTCCCTGGTTCATCCGAAGATATAAATATCTTAAGTATAAAGGAGCAATTCCTCAGTTCATTGTTGAACATTTTTCCGGCAACATTTAAAACGTATCAAGTGGTTTCCATGTCTTCAGTCTGTATTTTTACAGTGTTATACTTGTCACTTCAGTAACGGCGTGTGTGATAAGAAAGTTACTCGAGTTTCTAAACTTTTTTTGATCTTCATTTGAATTTGAGAAGCATCCAGATATCTGCCAGCCTTAAAGTAGTGCATGAGGTACTGACAAAATTGCACAGTGAAATGTTTCTTGCAAGTGTTGTGTTTTACTAAACATTTTCCAGCATGAGGCAGCTGCAACTTCATCAGAACTGCTGCACCTAACCTGTAGGCAATTGAATGCATATATTTAGCTGCAGAGTTCCAATAATGAATGTAAAGTAATCTTAGGGGGCAGTTGTTATTTTCAAAATACATAGTGGTAACAGCTTCTGTAGCCCTTGGAAAAGGATAAAGATGATGTTTCCTTCTCACTGGAAAAGGATATTTTTTCTCATGATTCCTGTTCCTACATGCTCTTGTAAAAAAACCATTCTAGATTTATTGTAGGCCCCCTTAAGGTACTGAAAGACTGTTGCAAGTTCTCCCTGGAGCCTTTTCTTCTCCAGGCTGAACAACCCCAACTCTGTCTTCACAGGAGAGGTGCTCCAGCCTGCTGAGCATCTTTGTGGCCCTTCTCTGGACTCTCTCCAACAGGTCCACATCCTTCTTGTGTTTGGAGCCCCAGAGCTGGATGTAGTACTCCATGTTGGGGTCTCATGAGAGCAGAGTAGAGGGGGAGAATCACCTCCCTCTCCCTGTTGGTCTCACTCCTTTTGATGCAGCCCAGCATACAGTTGGCTTTCTGGGCTGCAAGCACATGCTGCCAGGTCATGTTGAGCCTCTCATCAGCCAACACCCCTGATCTTTTTCCTCATAGCTGCTCTCAGTCCACTCTCTGTCCAGCCTGTAGTTGTGCTTAGGATTGCCCTGACCCAGGTGCAGGACCTTGCACTAGAAGTTCATGAGGTTCACGCAGACCCCCTCTCAATTGTGTCAAGGTCCCTCTGGATGGCATCCTTTTTCTCCAGCATGTTGACCATACCACTCAGCTTGGTGTCATCAGCAAACTTGCTGACGGTACACTCAATCCCGTTGTCCATGTCACTGCCAAATGATGTTTAACACCAGCAGTGCCAATACTTATCTCTGAACAGCAGCTCTTGTCACTGGTCTCCAGTTTGACATTGAGCCGTTGACTGCAACTCTTCAGGTGCGACTGTCCAGCCAATTCCTATCCACCAAATAGTCTATCCATCAAATTCTTGTTTCTCCAGTTTAGAAGCAAGGTTATGGTGTGGGACAGTTTTGCCCAAGTCCAGGTAGATGATATCAGTTGTTCTTTTCCACCAGTGCTGTAGCTCTGTTGTAAAAGGCCACCAATTTGTCAGGCAGAATTTGCCCTTAGTGAAGCCATGTTGGCTATCACCAATCACCTCCTTATTTTCCACGTGCATTAGCATGGTTTCCAGGAGAAACTGCTTCATGATCTTGCCAGGCACTGAGGTGAGACTGACCAGCCTGTAGTTCTCCTGTTTAACCTTTTAAAAATGGTGATTATGTTTCCCCTTTTCCAGTCAGTGGGAACTTCCCTGGACTGACATGACCTCTTAAAATTTGATGGACAGTGGTGTAGCCACTTCATCCACCAGTTCCCTCACGACCTGTGGATGCATTTCATCAGGCCCCGTGGACTTGTGCACTTTCAGGTTCCTTAGATGGTCTCAAACCTGATCTTCTACAGTGGGTGATTCTTAATTCTCCCATTCCCTGCCTTTGCCTCCTATGACTTGGTTGGTGTGGCTGGAGGTCTTGCTGGTGAACACCAAGGCAAAAAAAAATTGCATACCTTGGCCTTCTCCATGTCCCTGGTAACCAGGTCTCCTATTTCCTTCTGTAGAGGGCCCCCATTTTCCCTAGTCTTCCTTTTGTCAACAGCATACCTATACAAGCTTTTCTTGTGGCCCTTGATGTCTCTGGACAGATTTAATTCTACTGGGGCTTTATCTTTGCTAACCTGATCCCTGACTGCTTGAACAGTTTCTCTGTATTCCTTCCTGTCCTTGCTTCACCCTCTGTAGGCTTCCTTTTTGTGTTGGAGTTTGTCCAGGAGCTAGTTGTTCATCAGTGCAGACCTCCTCGTGTTTTTGCCTGACTTCCTCTGTGTTGTAGTATGCATCTTCCTTTCTGTTCTTGCTTGGCTTATGAATTAGTGTTAATGTTGAATCTGGAAATAGAAACTGGAAAATTTGAAACTGTGTGTTCAAACTCAGGACTTGAAACATTGTGAAGGTTGTGCAAAAATATAATTGCATTCTGAATATACATTTAAAATTTGTATTTTTTTAATGACTTCTTAAAGGAAAACTTTATTCAGTTATAGAGAATTGCTTATTTTTCTTATTAACTAGTGTATTCTTCCATTTCAGAATGTATGAAAACATGTCCACAATGGTGTATTTAAAGGAAGAGAAGTTGGAGAAGCTCACTCAAGATGAAATCATCGCCAAAACTAAGCAAGTGATCAATGGACTAGAGGCACTGAAGAATGAGCACAATTCAATTTTACAGAGTTTACTTGAAACACTGAAATGTTTGAAGAAAGATGATGAAACTAATCTGGTTGAGGAAAAATCAAACATGATTCGAAAGTCACTGGAAATGCTGGAGCTTGGCCTTAGTGAAGCGCAGGTAAAACTGCAGTAAGAATAAAGTCTTTCAGACGTTGAGGACCTAAGATTTGCCTTACTGAGTATTAGTAATGTGCTGGGACATTTATGTTGTTATTGTAAGTTAAGGAAAAAGACTGCTGTAATAGTAGAGTTAGATACTATTTGTCTTGCTGTGTTACAGAACTAATTATGCATTCAGCATTGCAGCACTGAGGCTCATAATTGAGACCTCTTTACTTAGTGAGACAGTGGCTATTTGCTGTTTAGACTTTTCCACAGCATTAGGCGGATAATGTTTAAGCAACTCAAGAACTAAACTTTGGCATTCTAACTCTAAATTATTGCATATGTATGTCTCCCACACACAAATAAATTTGCTCCAACCTTTGAGCTCTGCTGCAATCTTAAGTTCATGTTTATATTCCCTTGATTCTGAGATTCTTTATAATAACTTACAATGCTCCTGGATCTCAAGAATCTGTAATGTTTATTGAATATTTTCCTAAACCAAAATTGAATCTAAAAGCATTTTAAAGGTTGGGAATTGAGTATACAATGTAAGTTTCACTCTTAAAGGACTCCTTCTTTGAACTATCTTAGTTGATGAAGGTATTGTCTACAGAAGATGAGTAAAAAGATGTTTGTTTAGTCAGGATATTAGGAGTGTATTTACAGTCCAACTTTAGGGTATTTTGTACTAGGTCAGAAACCTGAAATCTGATGTGATGTGACACAGTCATCAGTATAAAATGGCAGAGTGTTTGCAGATGAGTTGAAAATGCCAATGAGTCAGCCCTATATTAATAGGCTTTATCTTTGTAACTGCTTAGTCTTTTCATCGAGCTGTTGAGCTATTACTGTTCGGTGATCTGAAGTTGTGTGCATTGGACCATGATGAATTGAAGCCTGAGAGAATGAACAAGTATGGGTTACCAGACCTGGCAATGTAGAAAGAGCCCCTGGACATTATGGTGCAAACTAGGTCATTTTTTATTAGTATTTTGTGTAAGTTTTTATCCCTTCTATTGGAATAAAATACTAGAAGAGATATGGAATAAAATTACAATAGTAGAGTTACCTTTAGTGGGTGTTTGTAGAGGATCTGTGAATGAATAACTTGTCTCTTCTAATTTTGCCATGGTATTGGGACTCAGAAAAGGTACTTCTGATTCTTGGCTCTGTTGGATTTAGCAGCCTCAGTTGCAGATGTGCCTGCCTAGTTTGGCCCACATGGTATTCTATGAACTGTGGTGGTGAGGAGCCAAGAAGTCTGCATTTAGTGCTTTTTTTAAGAAGCAATTCTTCAAACTGCTACACTCAAACCTGATAAACCTACCATTCCTGCACACTTTGGGTTGCAACAATGTAGGATTTTTTTTATTATTATTTGCAGTATTTAAATTAGACATGGAAATAATTTAAAGATTTTTTGTGACATGGATGTAGGGCTGATACGAGAGTTATTTCTGTAAAAATGAAACAGACGTTGCTGAAGCAGCAGTCAAACTTTCCTTCCAGTTAATTCTAGAGAGTAAGATTACAAAGGGGTTTAGTTTGCCATTGTAGCTTGTACAGTGTTATTTGAGTATGTTGACCCCGTTATCACAACTCTCCTAAATGTACTTTCTGATGTTAAAAATGGCCACTGTTTGAATAGAACAGGTAATTTAAATTATTAACAATTCTGAATGTGTAAATAGTAGGTGCTGAAGTCTGGAGACTTGGATTGGTATTAGGAATAATATGTGGAGTTTTTGCCTTTATAGGGAAAAGTAGTTTCTAAAGGTTTCATGTATTTCTTCTGGCACCAGAAATTTCATGTCAGGACACCATCTGTTTCACATGAAATATTTAGCTTAAAAACTCTTCAAGGTAACTTTGTTTTAAAGAAACATGAAATGCTAAATAACTTCAGGATTTCAGATTCATCTAAAAGAAGATTTGTATTACTGCCAATGACTGTTTCTTACAAGGTGTGCTTTGTGGGATTGCTGTGAACTGTTCTATGTGTATCAGTGGGAGATTACGTGAACAGTGAAGGGAAAGTGTCTTCTGTATGTAGTGTTTGGCTTTCACTTAACAAGTGTCTTTTTCATTTAACTTTGCTTAGCAAAAGAGCCCAATCCAAGTAGACTGCTTCTGTGGCTTTTGTATTTTTTTCCTCCAGGTTAATGGCTGGGCAAATGGTAAAAAGTTGAGAGGAAGAGTGAGATAGATTAAGATAGAGATAAAACCAGACAGATGAAGAAGAGAAACTTAAATGTTCACCAAATTTCACAGCTGACAGATTTTTAAATAATAAAAGTTTTTTAGATTAAATACAAGACTGCATTCTAGAGGAACTGTCATGTGACACCTTTTGCTTTCTAGGTAATGATGGCCTTGTCAAATCACTTAAATGCAGTGGAATCGGAGAAGCAGAAATTGCGTGCTCAGGTTCGTCGGCTATGCCAGGAAAACCAATGGCTACGGGATGAACTAGCCAATACACAACAGAAACTACAGAAAAGTGAGCAATCTGTGGCTCAACTGGAGGAAGAAAAGAAACATCTAGAATTCATGAATCAATTAAAAAAATACGATGATGATATTTCACCATCTGTAAGTAGCTGTGTAGTAAAAAGCCCCTTAAATGTACACGTGTGTTGTAATCTGCCTTTTTACCAAGAAGTGGTGCAAGCTTTTTTATTTCTCTAACATAAACTTGTCATGAAAATGCTTACCTTCTACCAGGGTCACATAGTTTGCAGAAAGATTCTAAATCCTGAGTTCATTCTTATTTTAAGAGAAGAAACGTTTCTCTGTCTGTAGATAACAAAATACATATGAGAATCAAAATCCATAAATACTTATATTGGATTATATTATCTTAAAAAATATGAAGAACTAAATAAAAAATTTCTTTCTGTAAACTCAACAATTAAGTGGAGAATTTAAACTATTAGAGATTCTAAGTACATAGGGGGCATGGCTTGTTTTGACTGCAAGAGAAATGCTTAATTTTCGTCTAGTGAAATCAGTGTGCAGGTTTTATATCTGTTGATAATTTACACTAGGATAGGATGTTACTGGATCACTTTCTGCCAGACACTGTGATGGTCTGCATGCCCGCTGTGTTACATATACTTAGATTCAGAGAGAAAATGGATACAGTATTAATTTATAGAAGTAATTTACCACTTAAAAAGACTTCTGGATTATTTGCACTTCTTGTTACCCTTTTATGTTTCCTTAAGTTAGATGGCACTGCAGAGAGAGATCTCATTTTGTATGTTTAGACCTATTCAGCTGTGTTTTGGAAAGAACAGGTTTTTTTAACCAGTTATTTCAGCAACATAATGATTGAAAATGTATGTGTTTGTCACACTTAACTGACTGCTTGACTGAATCCTTTTTAATATATTGTGAGCAGTGAGAGTTGTTTTGGCACATGGAACTTTTCAGTGCTATTTCATGAGTTGGTATTTGTAGCTGAATACTGCCAGGGAAGTCTGTTTAGAAAAGGGGTGGGAGGAGGGAATTTTGTGATTTTGATGTGCTAACTGTTGAACTGTAATCTGCAGATGGCCTAAATAGCGCCATTATTTAAAGTTTAATTGGCAAATAGGGTCAACGTAGGCATGGCAGCATCTTTATAGTTCCACTAACCATATGAACAGTCTCGCTTGTTAACCTTTGAAAATAGTCAATTCTGTATGCTCAGTGTAAGGCTGGAATCAGCACACGTAACATTATGAACTTCCCTTCTGAGATCTAGTCCCATTAATCTGCTGTTTTTGCAGAGCACATGCTTTGCCACTACTGAACTCCAATGCCAGTAGCTGCAGTTGTCTTTTTCTCTTGGATGAAGAGCAGAAAAATGGGAGTGTCTTCTGCTTCTGGGCTTTCTTCTGACTGAGATTAAATTTTCTGAGGACTTTAACCATTTATATTATATTGACTCCACATTTAAGAAACAGAATTGAGAGATGATCTGTTTCTTTAATTTTAAATGATGTGGAATGATCTTTGGATGTTTAATCAATGTAGACTAATGGATTGTGCAGAAGTTAATATGGTTCCAGATGAATACTACTGGAGATGAACTTCCATGCAGGTGGCTTTATAATTTTTGATCCTTATAGATTGCAATTGCAAAACCTATTTTTTTTTTGTGCAGAAGTTGAGCACTCAGGAATTTAGGTCTCCATATTTCTCTCCCTTGCCCATCTGTAACTGTGTTTAAGACTAAAAATATACAATATTCAGTGTTTAGTAGCACTGAATCTGTATTCAGCACTGGATACTTTCACGAGGTATGATGTCTCTGTAAGAATAGCGAATGTGTTCTTGTGTGTTTAAATTGAGGCTAAAATCTAGGAGACCTGATTGCTATTCCTGTCTCTTCTGAAGGTGTCCTGTATTGTTTGGGAGAGAGTATGTAAATACATTTGAACATAAAACCTTCATAGAACTTCTAGAAGAAGTGTTATTCTTTTATATTCCTAAGTTTTGGATGTGGGGTTTTCTTTAACATTGCTGATTAAATGGACTGTCTCTTCATGCCTTAGATTTAAGTATAACAGTTTGGCTTTGGGCTTGTTCTATAGGAGGATAAGGATACAGATTCCACCAAAGAGCCTTTGGATGACTTATTTCCCAATGATGAAGATGACCAAGGACAAGGAAGTAAGTGCACTTCAATTTACAATGTTAGTGGGTTTCTGCAGTGCAGAAAAATGAACCCATGTTTAGGGTCCTCTGGGACACATGGAGTGGTGAATGCCTCTGCTAGAATAAGGAAGCCAGTCACTGATACGTACAGAACTGGGACTTAGGTTTTTACATAGAGTTTACTGGCTCTTTTAAAGTTCTTGGCACTGACCCTGATATAGCCCTAGAGGGCAGGGGGGCCCAAGACTGTTGGTTGATTCAAGGATCACCTACTACAAGCTCAGGAGCATTGCATCCCAACTAGAAGGAAGTGCAGCAGGAGGGCCAGGAGACCTCCTTGGATGGATAAGGAGCTGCTGAGGAAAATTTGAAGAAAAAAAGAGGCTTATAAAAGGTGGAAGCAGGGACAGGCGACCTGGGAAGAATACATATAATATTTTGTCCTTTGCTGAGGTTTTCTTCCTTAGTTTTACTGCTCATTCTAGAAGTGTTGTCTTCTGGTCAGGACTCGTGAATAGGCTGTGAAGTTTGAGGTAGAGATTTGGTAGCACGATTGATAGAAGCCATTAATAGATAAGCCTTGCTAAGTGAAATTTTGGGGATTTTACGGGTGTAAAGCTGGTATTATATAATGTATTGATATTATAGTGTATAGGCGGTATGCTAGTAATATAATGGTTCTCAGTAGACAAGTGGCTGCAGAAAAAAAATGTCTGAAGGGTCCCACCTGTGTAATCAGACTATCAAATTTCCTTCACGGGCACATACACAAAATACACTGCATTCTTCATAGCATGGTAATGCTAACCATAGTCAGCAATGGAAGGAAGACTTGAAGAATTTAGAATAGGTTAGTGTTGACCATGAGCTCGCTTCTGAGCTCATGCTTGCTTCACTAGAATTTTGTACTAGGAAGGTTGGATGGCAGCGCTGTCTATGTACCTGCATAATCCACCTACCTTATTTCAAAGTTGATTTGTTAGTAATTTCCTTGGGAAGGTTGGATGGCAACACTGTTTATGTACCTGCATAATCCACCTACCTTATTTCAAAGTTGATTTGTTAGTAATTTCCTTGACCTCCAGGAAAACTACTGAAATGTTCCAGTGCTTTGGTAGGCAGTGGTAGTAGGTATAGGCTTGGAATTGTATGATGCCGCTGGTATAAAAAAGGCTCTCACTTGAGGTGAGAGTGGTTTTTGTCCGCAGAAAGAAGAAAGGCTCATGGCTGGAGCCCTTATCCTGTGTGTCGTTTAGAATTTAACACAAATGAGTAAGAGGGAATTTTCTACGTTGTCCCAGAAATCTCCTAGAGGAAGAGAAAGGCAGTAGTGGATTTGGGAGGGAGAGGTGGGGTAAAGGAGGGAATTGGAGCATGGTGATTGCAACAACCAAAGGTTAGGGGCTTCTGGAAAACAAGTGGCTAAGCCTGAGGGCTAGTGAGTAAAACCTAAACATTTTACTTAAAGTATCACTGGCCTTGACTTGATGCCTTTTCTCTTGCAACTGTTAGCTGTGGCGTGCAAGATCTTTTAATCCATTATGTGCCAACCTTAAGTACTCTTTGATACAGCAAAAAAGGGAAACACACACAAAAAAGGTATGTTTAGAGAAGAATAAAGGAAAAAGGACAAATCGTTGGAGCTTTTCTGCCGGTATTTGGCTTGTCTGTGTTAATGTTCCTTTCCATAGGGAAATGTGGATATTTGTAAGTGCAAAATTATGGTATAATTTTGGGAATTGATAATGATTTGCCGAGCTGAAATAGTTTCCTGCTTTCTTCTGTGGTTTATTACATTTGGGCCTTTGAGCTAATAGAAGTGTAAAATAACACAGTAATGGACAGAACATGAATAATTAAATTGTCGTAGTTTCACTGTCACTGTTGAAGACAGCATGATTACTGTGAAGTGTGTTCTAATACTAATACTTTATAAAATTCACTCTCATTTTTTGTCACTGAGCAGTAACGCTAAACGCTTTAGTTACAGTCATATTTTAAACATATTTAAATCTTGCATGTTTCTTTCAGTTCAACAGCAGCATAGCAGTGCAGCAGCTGCTGCCCAACAAGGTGGCTATGAAATTCCAGCAAGATTAAGGACCCTTCATAATCTTGTCATTCAGTATGCTTCCCAAGGTAGATACGAGGTTGCTGTACCTCTCTGTAAACAAGCTCTTGAAGACCTAGAGAAGACTTCAGGTCATGATCATCCTGATGTTGCTACTATGTTGAACATACTTGCTTTGGTGTACAGGTTTGTATACTGCCATAGATAAATATCAATTAACTAAATAATATTTGGCTACAACCTGTTAATGTACAGACTAACATTTTTGACTATTTTCCATTCCCTTTTTTTTAAAAAAATTGAAACCCTCAGGAGGGTCCTGCAGCACTTGTATATATCCCTATGCTTAAAAGTCAAAAAAGTTACTGCATTTCTGCCTGTGCCTTTTCTTTGGAAGTGAAGCTGGTTTTGATACCATTTTTTTTTTTTTCTGTTGAGGGTCTTGTCTTGATTACCCACTTCCAGATAATCTAGAGGAATAAACTGGACAACAGTTCAGCAGTAGTACATGCTAGTCCTGAAACAGCGAACTACTTCACAGTTACAGGCTTCATGTTTTTACTTCCCAATTCCTGAATATATTCTCAATTACTCTTCTTTTGCACTAGCATCTTTAGGCCAATATTGAAGTCAGCTTTGTTTTTATGATTTCTTTTTCTGAATCCCCTGTGTTAATTATGACTCTTTAAAATTTAGAGACCAAAACAAATACAAAGATGCAGCAAATCTCCTGAATGATGCCTTGGCTATACGTGAGAAGACTTTGGGCAAAGATCATCCAGCGGTTTGTATACATGCAATATCATATTTTCAGTTGTGTTTTTCACTGAATTACTGAATTTTTTTTTCAACTCATTTTAATATTAAACTCAACAGGAAAGTTTTTAAGACCTGGCTTATCTCTAGACAGTACAGGTAGGAGGCCACAATGTAACATGCTTCATTTTCTCTTAAATATTTAACATGCCTTTTGAGCATTATATTCAGTGCTGTTTCACCATAAATGACTCTCACACATTTGATTTTTGATTGCATGGATTTTCTGTGGGAAATCAATTTGTGAAGAAAGATTTTAATTTTCTTACTCAAATCACTTTATAAAACTCGTATCGAAGGGACCCTTCTAATTTGTTTTATGGCTGCTTTTAAATGACACTTAAATCAAGCTTTTGTAATCGGTGTTTAAAATTAATGTGGTATCTCACTTCGTATACCCTGTGTAATGCAGGGCAGCTCTGAGTATAGATCTGAGAAATAACTTTGTAAGAGAAGAACATATGAAGAAAATGTGTGCACTAAATGACATTTCCACAAGTGAAGCGAAACTATTTCATGATTTTTTTCCCCTTTCCTTGTTTGTGTATGAATGCATTTGATAGTAATTATTTCATTTGCAAATCTCAAGAGGTCCACCTTGTGCATGGAAAATTTGAAAACGTCAGTGCATTGCAGATGTATTCATTTGTCACATTTGTATCAGTAAATTCCAGTGTAATTAAAATTTCTCTACTGTTGACAGGTGGCAGCAACTCTAAACAATCTTGCAGTACTTTATGGTAAACGTGGAAAGTACAAAGAAGCTGAACCGTTGTGTAAGCGAGCTCTGGAAATCAGGGAAAAGGTATGAGTAAAAGAACTCATCACTTTTGAATGGATTTTTTTGAGGGAGAGGGCAAGGCTAAGCTTGCTTTTTTTACTTGTTTTTTGTTTTGGTTGAGTTGATCTGCCAGGTAAACCACAGTTATCAGTGCCCTGGTAGCTAGCCGTGTGTGCAATTCAAAACAGTTGCACATTCAAGTAGTCCTATGGAGCTGTTGGAGCACTCTGGGTATATTATAAATTCTGTATTTTCTAATTAACCTTCTTTCACTTTTTCTTTCCCCTTTGATAGTTAAGTAATCATGTGATAAAAGCTTTGGAGCTAAAAATGAAACATCATTAAAATTTTGAAGTTGATTAGATTATTCTATGACTATGTGGATATTTTTTCTAGTCCATGACACTGAATGCCTGCATCCTCAGGCTTTGTGTAATACCCTGCATATAATGTTGTTCTGCTACTTGTATTATTCCTGTTATGAATTGTTCTGCAGCATTCTCAGTTCTTAATAGAATTGAGCAATTTTCATATCTCTCAAACGCAGTTTTTCTTTTGTTATCCTCATGTTGAATTGATGAGGAATAAAAACTAACGGCATATTTCTAAATGATGCATTTCTAAGCCCTGATACGATGATTGGAGAATGTTTTAATGCAAGTTATTTAATTTTCAGGTCCTGGGGAAGGATCACCCTGATGTTGCTAAACAATTGAATAACTTGGCTTTACTGTGCCAGAACCAGGGTAAATATGAGGAGGTTGAATACTACTATCAGAGAGCACTGGAAATTTACCAGACCAAGCTGGGACCAGATGATCCAAATGTTGCAAAAACAAAGAATAACCTGGTAAACCTTTTATAGAGTAAATCTAAGAAAAAAGCAAGATTTTTCGATTAATTGCAATGCACCTTATTCAGCATGTATTGTATTTGTTATTTATCAAGCTAAATAAAAGTGTGCTGATAACTTTGGGGGGGGGGGGATTTTGTTTTTAGGCATCCTGCTATCTAAAACAGGGCAAATTCAAGCAAGCGGAAACTTTATACAAAGAGATTCTTACTCGTGCTCATGAACGGGAATTTGGCTCTGTAGATGGTAAGAAAATGAGTCCCTAGATTTGAATGTATGTGTCATTTTGGTAGTTATTATGAAATAATATCTGCAGGAAGTTAATTGTATCCTGATCAAAATGATTGTGTGCTTGAGGTAGACTTAAAAAGTGAGGTAATAAACATGTTGAAGTATATTCATTATAAGAAAGCATTTAGATATGTCAGTAACATTTGATTGAAAGGCAAGTTTTTCATATACGAGGTAGACTTGATAGGTTTATGTTTTATGGATTGTATTTCTGGCATAATTTACATTATGTCCAACCAAAATCAATTATGGTATTTTTATAGAGGCAGAAAAATCTGTGACTTTCCAGTCACAGGTAAAAGTCAGTGCAGGATTTTTAATGATATAATAAATACATTGTTAATGTGAGTCTTCCATTAATACATTTAAAGAATGGGGAAAATACCCTTAAATTGTGAATTATGATGTACTTTGAAGTCAAATGCATTTTATCAACTGTAAATCACATTGCATTCCATGACAGTAGTATGTGTACCACTTAGTGGATGTCAAAGCAGTTTTTATGATAGAATAAATAAATGCGCAGTTTTTAGCCCAGAACTAGGCTCATGACAAATCAATGTCAGCATATGCTAACTTCAAAGCTTCTCAGAAGTAACTGTTTCTAAGTTCAGATAAAAGAAGACACAGTTGTAAAACTATAAAGAAGAGGCACATGTTTTATTTACCTGCTGCTTGTAGTATGGACAGTAAGCTTTTTTGTGGTAATAGTATAATTCCCTGGTTCACAGCTTCATTTCAGAAGGGTGAAAATGAGAACAATGAATGCTTTGTAGTTTTGTTCTTTTGTAATATATTTTCTTGTGTTTCGTCAGATGAAAATAAACCTATTTGGATGCATGCAGAAGAGAGGGAAGAATGCAAAGTAAGGCCATTGCCATAAATCTTTTTTGGAGTTTTTTACTTAAGTTGCAAGTTGGTTATTTTTGTTCAATGTTTCTTCTGTTTTAGGGAAAGCAAAAAGATGGCACAACTTTTGGAGAATATGGTGGCTGGTACAAAGCTTGCAAAGTTGACAGGTAGGTAATTTCTTCATAGGACAGACAACATGGCAATACACAGTATCCAGAAATGTCGCATTAACACGTGTTTAAAAATGGAACCACACCAGCTGCTTGCTTTGGACTGTAAAAACTATAGTATTAAAAATTCAGGCCCCAAGAAAGGGTTTCAGGAATGTACTAGAAGTTTTCAAGTCCTGTAATGCTTTTAATCTATCCTAGTTAGACTAGTAAGTGAAAGAAAAATTCACCAGTTGTATTCTTGGCAGTCCTTCAGGTAAAGCGTAGGTCACCTTTTTTTTTTATTCCATTGGTTGGTGTAGGGCTCTAGAGAGGGCCAGAAGCAAAAAGGAGGCTGTGCAAGTAACTGAGCCTTGAGATTTTTTAGGTGGTACAAGAAAACAAAGTCAAAACTGCTACAGTTCAGCATTATTTGAGTTTATAAAGCTCAAAGAATATAGCTTTGTGTGAGTGAAAAAGTGTACTTTAAAATGGAAGAAGAGAAACAAGGACTTCTGCTTGGATTGTTCTTGGTGAAATAGGGTTGTTTGCTTTAATTTTGTAACTTACCTGCCTTTTTTCTAGTGTGCAAGTGGTACAAGGTAAGAAACCTTCATCTAGTACTGTTATGTTTAGTGAGGGGGTTTAATTTATTCAGTGTTTGAATTCATGTATTTAACAAGTAGCAGAACCTTTGAACTGTTGAAATCTGCTCTTGTCTCTCCATCCTGAACTCTGGGTGCAATACATTTTGTTGGTTTGTTTTTCATGTAATAATTCATCCTAATGCATGAGGAGATCTTTTTTCTGTTGTTACTGGAGCAAAACTTTGTACAACAATATGGTGACTGAGCTAATACTGTGTCATTGAAACAGAATTGTCTTGCTGGAGTGTGAGACTTGTTAATGGAATGTACAATTTATTTTTTTTTCCCTTTTATTCTTCAAGCATAGTTTGAAAGCATAGAAAATAAGTATAAAGTGTAAAAGCTGATGAGCTGTCAATTTGTTTTGTGCCTAGCACATGCTACAGTAATGGTCACTGTATGCATGAGTAGGCATATTTTCTGGAAGCTTCACAGTTATTCAGTTGGGCACACTAACTAAGCTAAATTTTTACCTTGAGATGCACATGAGAAACAGAAGGATACAGCACTCCATTTTTCTCCTGAGTAGATTTAGAGGCTGTTTACTAACTTTCAGTTTCAGGGCTGTTGACTAATCGTAGTGTGAGTCATTAATGCATTTGGAAAGGAGTTAACAGGTTTATCCATGTACATGCAGTACAGTGTAGTGTATTTCAAGAGACTTCCTTTTTGTAATTATTTAATATGATAAATACTATATTTTAAGGTTGTTTTAGTTTGTGAATTGAGAAGTTTAGTGTGTGTGTGTGTATTTTTTTTCTTTAAATAGTCCAACAGTAACAACTACCTTAAAGAACCTTGGAGCACTTTACAGACGACAGGGCAAGTTTGAAGCTGCTGAAACATTAGAGGAGGCAGCAATGAGATCTCGTAAACAGGCAAGTATGAAAATTCTTAATAATGTCTTCATTGTGATCATGCAGATTTTCAACTTCAGTATCTATCGTATGTACAGAATATGTGAACTTTCAGCTATGTAGTGTCTGGTATGTTCAGTTACTTAGTATCTTTAATTTCAGTCTGAACTGATGATAAACCAGTACCATCTTAACACTTGAAACTGATTAATTGCTAGGGCAGTGGCATTGTATCCTGGGGGCATGATTCAAATTGGCAGTGAAATTGCATGGAAAATGGCACAGCAGAAAACACTGTTATAGCCAGCAGTCCTTACTTGCCTACATGTGGTGGGAGAGAGGCTATAGCTAGGGGAAGATTTCAGTGATAATCTCGTTTGCCAGTAATGCTGTTCTGTTTTCAGTAAGGAGCTATAAAACTTTCAAATGTTTTGTTTCTGCGTGCAGCTGACTGACTGTTGCAGGCCTTTAGAAGGCCATTATAAATGTGTTAGCTGTTTCTATTACTTCTGCAGACTGATGAGATGGATATTACGGTTTAAGTGGTGGGTGTGTTCTTTTAATGCAGGGAAGTTCTGTGCCTGTGTTCTCAGATCTGCAATTCAAGTAACCCTTTCTCAGTCTTAGAAGGTGGGAGAGAGATTTGGGGTTTTTTGGTAGTGTTTTATTGGCTTTTTGTTTTTCCTTTCCCTATTGGATGGATTGATACAATGTCTTGTATAAAAGTATCCAAGACAGGACAAGCAAATATGGCTTGTCAGTATTAAAATGGAAAACAAAATAAGAAAATGTAAGTGAATTAAAAAAACCCTGGGAAGTTCAATCTTAATTTCATTTTTTCACGATGATTTGCTTTGTTTCTGTGGGGTATTTTTTTTGTCTTATACTGATTCAGAGTTGTATTTTGAACAATGATATTGCAGTGTTTGATGTGTATAGAAGCAAATTTATGGAAAAGGGAGAGAGCAAAAAGCTCCTGGCAAGCCTCATGCTCTTCTAGTGAATTCAAGAATAGTTCCCTTTGATGTAAGGTGGTTTAAGTTCTTTCCTCCACAACAAAATGATGGAAAACTTACAAGTGTTTGCCAAGTAAATGGAATGAAACTGGTAAGAGGAAAATATGACTCTGGGACAAAGGTTCTTCAGCAAGGAAAATTCAAGGGTGGGGAGCATAGTTGATACAGATACTTTCTTTTACTGAGGATGATTTTAACTTACTTTTACTGAAGGCTCATTTTTGGAGTGTCTCGATTTGAAAACAAGAAATGAAGATGCACTGTGTCTTAAAATGTTTGCCTTGGTTCTTAGTTTTGCTGTTGCCATTACATGTGATTCTTCTTTTTTTTTTTTTTGGGTGTGAACAGATACAAGCAGGATAAATTGGAATAATGTAATAGTAATAAGGCAGCTTAGCTTGTATTTGTTCTTTTTATGTATATATTAGAACCAAAACAAAACACAGCACCAGCTTCACCAGCTTTTCAAGTTGAAATTTCCACTGGGAAGCTTGGAACTGATTATTTGGGAATTAAGGATGAGAGGATCTTGCTACTGGAGAAGTCTTTTTTTACAGTCCCTGTGTAATCAGCCCACTTTTGGCTTGCCAGTACCACTGCGAAAACTGTTCCTTGTCTCCATTTTCCTTAAAGCCTGATGGAGGTTTGCTGCTGCTACTTTGTTTTTATTAAGCATGCTTCAGGTTTTCATTGGTGCATCATATATACCATGTCTACCATTGTATCACACACACCACTGGATTTGGGCATGTAGGAAACAGTGCTGTCTTACTATCAGTGTTTACCTTTCTATTTTAGGTCATTAAGGAGAACAGACAGGGTTAATACATTTCCCCTTTTCAGCTGAAAGCAAAGAAGTGCTTCTGTTCCCAGATTTGGAAAAGTACCAGTCCTCCATAGTTCTGTTCTCCTTCATGCATGTTTTGTTTGCTTTAGCTGCTGGGATGTAAATGCAAGATTTTTGAAGACCAGTGAAGTTCTTTGTCCTTCATCTTTCATGACAGAATCAAACTGGGGAAGTGCAGTTCCCCATCCCTTTGTTTTTTAAATGTATGTATTAACATGTGAAGTAAATGAGTCATCATAGCTTTGGAGCAGAGCCCAGGGTCTTTATGTGATGCTTCACCTCTTTAGTGGTGATTTTAAATAGTTTTATGGTTTTTGTGTTCTGTGCTGCTGAAGGGATTGGTGCAGAAGCCATTTTGAGCCTGTGCTTCAGTACTGTCTGAGAGCTCTAGCCAGTTTTCTGCACCATACAGCCACGTGGAAGTGAAAATATATGATCATTATGTGTTCATACTTCCTTATTTGTAGCATTCCATTAGGGAGGGCTGTTCTGCTCTTCATTTAGTGGAAAGCAGCTATATGGAACCAAGAACCTGATTTTCCATGCTACTAAACCAACTTTCTTTCTTATTCATGCACGTTACTTTTTAGGAGAATTTTGGCATGATTTTCACTTTCTGTATTATGGTAGGCTTTATGGATTTGTCACACAGATTCCCTGCTGCATTTGCTGCTAATGTTGCACAGTGAAAGATGTAGAATGTTTTCTTATGTGTAAGGCACTGACTGGGCATCTCTTCCTGCAGGGTACTGTTCATGACATGGAGTATATGAGGTTTATTCTAAAGAAAACAAAACTCGAATATGAATTGAGCTTTATTACTTTCTAGTTTCTGTTAAAGATTTTGCCTTTATTTTTATAGGAGGTATTTAAAGATATTCAAAGTTATGTGGTAATTGACAGACATTGTTTAACACAAAGCAAATGTATTTTATTGACCACAAATATAGTCTGTTCTATTATAAGCTTATTTTCTATTTAATGTCATTCTGAACAATCAGTTATATCGCTGTGCCAAGTATCGTATGTCTCTATTTTTAAATAACACAACCCGTGTCTCAGGTATTAGATAGTCAGGTACCTGCAATGTTCTTTCCAAAGGTGGGTGAATACTGTACTATTTGATAGGTGGAAAACTGAGAATTGCATTGACTGTTCATAATCTAGGAATTGCTTAAACATTAAGCTGGTGGCCAGTTGCCTTCAGGTAAGTTACGTGAACACTGTGAAGCTTTGACAAGTGATAGGGAAGGAGGAAAAGAATGGCAAGTCACTGAATTCTCTACTGAACTGCCTGTCCACTTCATGCTCTGTTGATTTCTGCAGTGTATAAAGGGCAACTCAGCTGCCCTTTGAAAGTAGAATTGGGGTGATGGAGTAATGGGTTGTTTTGACATCTTTTGTGATATAGTTATTGTGTGTTAGTACAGCTTGCAATAGAAGAAAACATTTTGCCATTTCTTCTAATTCTCAGGGTCTTGACAATGTTCATAAACAGAGAGTTGCTGAAGTGCTGAATGACCCTGAGAGCATAGAAAAAAGGCGAAGCCGAGAAAGCCTCAATGTTGATGTGGTAAAGTACGAGAGTGGTCCTGATGGAGGCGAGGAAGTGAGTATGAGCGTAGAATGGAATGGGGTAAGTACAGTACACAGTTTAAGAAAATAGCCTAAATCAATTAACACCAGAACAAATATGGTTGTCCATTCACCAGCCTCTTGTGTTTTCAGTTGTTTCTTGGTTAATCTACTTTTTATTTTGTAATTTTGCAGAATCAAAAATAAAGAATAACATTTTGTTTATCATAACATAATTAAAAAAATTGTACCATTTAAAAAATTTAAACCATCCTTTCTGTTTTCCTGAATGGTGAAATTTCTTCAAGAATCCTAAGCAGTTATATTTAACTTTAAGTTGTTTAATGCTGATTGAGTGTCCTGGTTATGGTCTGGTGTACAGTTGCTTCTTAGTGGTTTCTTTTTACTGGTAGAAATACTCTGGCAATTGACTTACTTTTGCTTTTGTCCTTTTGATGCTGTATTTGCCTGTATTTTAAATGTTTCTTTACAAATACTGCATCTCTTGGAATCACAAAGAACATTTGCTATGGAGATGCATTAAGTGTCAGCAGTTTTAGAGTAAATACGTGAACAGTCTAACGCTAAAATAATTCCAATATCCTCTATACCCAAAAGGAAAAAAAGTAACTTTTCAAGCTGCTATACAGTCCATTTTAAGAGGCAGTGCCATCGCATAAGAATATGATAGTAACTTCACATATCTTGAGTGAAATATTAATAACACTTTTCTTTACTAGAATTTGGCTGGAGTCAGGGCTTGTTCCAATTTTTCCCATGTATTGGCTTCACTATATAACTGTCATAAAGTAAAAACATACATATAATGTGATTACATATGCATTTTTGTAACCACTGTCTTCCTTTAATTTGGAAGACAGTGCCAGCTTTCAGTTATTGATCTGGCTTATGTAGTTGCTTGCTTCTGTCACCACATTTCCCATGCTTTATTCCATTGCCAGCAATGGGATATATATTGCACTGTTAACCAACTCCCAGCTGCAGTTCTGCTGAAAATACTCTGTTAGATTATAAGGTGTTGCCTGCTTTTGCTGTACGGGAGGAGAAGTAGCCTACTTTGCAGAATTGAGTGTTCTGAAGTTTCATTTCTCTTGCGGTAGCAGACTTTTTATTTCTTTTTGTTAGCCACATGAGACAAAGTTTAGCATTCCAAAGAAACCTTGATAAAATACATACTGCTTTACTCTTTAAGGAGAAGGTTCTTTCCATCTTTTGTCTCTTTATTATTGTTTTCTTGGCATTGGTGTTCTCGGTGCCAAGACAGTCAATCAGCATCTACTGTATAACACTGCATCATCAATAAAGCCAAAGTAAGGTTGGATTAACACTTTTTTTAATTCTCATTTTGCCCATTCAGCTTTAGAACTGTGTACTGTACTCCTCCCTTAATTTTCGCTGTACTTTGCATGACTATATGTTCTAAACAGATTAAACATTTTTCTGTTATTGACATTAATTAAACAAGCATGCAGGTTTTGGATTGAAAGGGCCTTTTGTGGAAAAGCAGTAGACAGTATTTCTAGGTCAATATGTGAATCAAATTCGGTGATAAAAATTGTTGATCTGAAAAGCTAAATTCTGACCTCTCAGAGCAGACTTCATTTTTAGTGTGCTGAAGTGGCATCGCTTTATTCTCATCTTAGTTTATTTTTTTCCCTCGTGAGAGGTATTTTTGTATTACATGTTTTACATAAAAGTGGGCAACTCTCTCTCCCTCTACCCTGCTAGTGTTTCTATCTCAGCGCTGTTCTTCCTTCTACTTTATATTGTGTAGGTTTTTTTTACCCTCATGTGTTCCCTCCAGACAAAATACTCTGGTTCATGAAGTATAGTAGAATTTTTTACTTCTGTTTTTTTCCATTTAAATTCTTCTGAATTGGTCAAGCTGAGTGTCAGAATACTTGGAGTATGTAAAGCAACAAACTTCAACAAAAAGTTGATAGAAGATTTATTGTAATTAAGTGATTTCCATGTGTAATTTAATCCATGTTAAGCAGGATATGCTTTGATGTAATGTCTTGCACTCTTACAAAAAGAACTGAAATATCTATTGAAGTTAATCTGCTAATAACTATTAAAACTGACATGTTAAGTTTTATAGTGCGTGTTTACGTGTTTCTTAGAAAGTCCATCCCTCTAAGTTAACAGAAAATACAAAGAGAGCAAAGAAATACTTGGTTTTGAAAAATCAGGATAGAAATCTCAAGATTTCTGTCCCCTGTTATATTTGTATGTAAAAAAATTACAGTGTGTATCTGTAATTGATATTTTTGCAAATTGATCTTGCAGCTGGTTGCAGGACAGATAAAAATCCTTGTGGTGTGATAGTGCTTAATTTAAGATAATGTTCTTACTCTAACCTACGTGCTTCAAAGATACGTCTTTTGAGCACAAAAGTCTGCTTTCAGGTGTGAAACAAAAGCAGTATATTTCAGTACTATACACTAGCTGCTAAGAGTTGCTCTACTTTAATAACAAGTATCAGATCAGTCAGAGGGGCATTGCAGCAGACAACTAGAGAGTACAAGAAGTGATGGTGGGGAAGTGTAAGCAAAAGTAGTAAGGCGATTCTCATTCTGAGCAACATAAAAATTGGCAGTTAATCTTTGCCATAGAAATGGAGATATTTTCTGCTTTTTTGATTGTTTTTGCTGGATTTAGGAAGCTTGGTTTTTTTTTTAACCCTAAACTCATGTTTTAAAGGTATTTTTTTTAATCATGCAGTCATTGTTTAACTTGGGAGTTTAATATATTTATTCCAGATTTGAAGTAAGCAAAAGCTTGTCTGCTTATTCATAATGTGCTAGTTAGCATGATGGAAGTTACACACTCCTACCAAACTTGTCTTGCATTTGTTCCTTAGATCATTATCACTACTATAGCACCACTGGTTTAAGGCCATAGGAATAATTAGCCTTTTCACTGATCTAATACTTCTAATTGGAATTTAAACTGCAGTTTATTCAATCCTGCAAAGCTGAAGTGTGTTTTTAAAAGTGTGAACAACGCACACAATTTAGTTTGAAACAGAAATACTCAGTTATGTTTTGATCTTCTGATCACTTTGTAGCAGGGCATTCTGCTATTTCCAAGAATAATTTTAATTAGTGTTTATTCCAGTTGCTGTAGGTAAAGGCCTTCAAAACAGTTACCTTAAGATTATTAGTAATGGTCTCTGTGCTGTGTGTAAACTGAACTAGAGCTTATTTTTAATATCAGATATTAATATCAGATGCCTCACTGCATTAGGAAGAGGAGAGAAATTTCAACTTGGATTTTAGATATTATTTTATACATCTATTTATACACATAGAGGGATGCATTCTAAAATTATTCTGAAACTGAATTGACACAGGTCAGTTGGATTCTAGTTCCTTAAAGGAATGAACAGGATTTTGTCTGGAGGTTAGGAGAAGACCTCTTTCTTCTTGCTGTTGTGTTTTGAGGAACATTCCTGACAGAAGTTAAAGCTGAAATGAATGCACCTTGCTCTGTTCCTTTCTTCTGGTTTGTTTTTTATTTTTTCCTTTATTTTTTCGTTTTGTGTTAATGTCACCTGAAAAGAAAAATCCTTTCTTTGCTTACAAAATGTAACACTAAAGCTATCACTTCTTAAAGTTTTTTTGTATTTTATGCAAATTCTAACTTAAAAAATGCACGGAATCATTCATGTGCATTTGTAAGTTGCATATTAGTGATACAGGTGAAACCGCAGAAAGATGTAGGTTCTGGTAATTGCAAGGGCCTGCACTTTGTGTTTCAGGGCAGCCCAGATACTCCAGAAAAAAATGTTTTGAATGTGACCTAGAAATACTGTAAACTTAACTGTTCAAAATTGAAAACTGTTGCATTTTCCCCAACAGTTTCATTGAGTTTTTCTCTCTCCATTTCTGACAGGCCTAGATGCCTTTTGTGATTCTTATACTGTCTCCTGCATGACGGGCGTGCACCATCTTCAGGCTTTAACTTCTCTCTTCAGTACTGACTGCTGTGTTTTAGCAAACCCCTTAAGATTCTTGTCAGAGCTACACTTCCCTGTAAACTGGCCATTCCTTCAGTGCTGGTGTCTTTTTTTTGTTTTCTATTTCTGTACATGTGTAGCTTTGCCAGTTATGTATCTAGTCATACAAAATGTTATTACAACCATTTGCTGTGTAATACATATTAAAAAAAAGTAACAATGAACTTTAGAAGTAGCTGTTCACTATGGAAAAAAGGTAGTTAAAAGTATCACACAAGGTATTACTGAAATGGCATGATGGTGATCTTTACGGGAGAAAAACAAAACCAAACCCATAAAAGTAAGGCATGTTCTCCAAGTGCTTTAAAATGTATTTAGAGACCTATTACATGGTTAACATCAATATGGAACTCTGGATGTCTTCGATTATGAATATTCTAAAGTAGCATTGCTGTATAGTCTTTGTGTGAGATTTTCGCAATTATGCTTTTCTCTACTAATCTCGGTGTTCAGTGATTTGTGTATTTGTCTTTCTAACTTCTAATAAACTCACTCTAACTCAGGTGTCTGTCTGCTTAGTAATGCTTTACTTTCTCCTTTTACAATTCTTGTTTCATAGTCACATAGGATTTCTATGAAGTAGGAAATGGTCACTTCTAATCATACTAAACTGGTTTGGTTTTGGGTTTTTTTTTAAGAGTAAAACATTAAAAAATAGAATTTTTGTCAGATGGAAATTTCTTCTGGTCAGCACAGCAGTGTGTAAAACACGAATGCAGTGTATGAAAAATTCATTGTGTTCTACATTTTCTTTGGTACAAGTTAAAATGAAGCACAGGAATTTAACCATACATGTTTCTGTCAGAAATATTTTTGTTTAAGGACTTTAGGATTAATTAAGCATGTTTGCAGGTAGTGTAGATGTTTAGAAAGAATAAAACAGGGTTTTTTTCCTTAGTGATGGAATGTTTTTTTGCGTGGGGCTTGTGTTATGTTAACTACAGTGTGCTCTTATAAAATGGTAACATGATGATTTGTTTGACTCCTGTGGTGGGTTTTTACTAATTATGAATCATGGCTTGAGCATGTCTTGACATTTTAGAAATCTCTTACAGTTTGGAAAGCATCCTGTTGTTATAGTGAAGTTGTAGCTACACCGTATTACGTGTTTAGGTAATTGTACCAAGTACCTATTAATAGCAGTAAAAAGTCATCAATGAAAGGGTCTTGAGCCAGCTTTGGGGGAGGGCACCAACTCTTGCAGTTTCACATTTGTTCAATTTTTTTCAGGATGGCACTGGATCTTTAAAGCGCAGTGGTTCCTTTAGCAAACTTCGTGCTTCCATTAGACGCAGCAGTGAGAAGCTGGTTAGAAAGCTGAAGGGAGGAAGTTCACGGGACAGTGAACCAAAGAATCCAGGGTAATTACCTATCCTTAGCTATGCTGCTGTGCCTTCCTTCTGTGCCCCCCACTGTAGCCTAGTGTAGTGCCTAGAGCAGTGTTTTCTTCTCTGTTTAGCTAACTCTATTTCATATAGATTTATATCTTAAAGTAAAGTAAAGTAAGAAATAATTTCTAAAACTTAAAGTTATGCAACATCCGAGGAATTATATTTGCTTTTAAGAGTTAACTCAATTTTAACAGCGTTTTTTCCCTTTTTACTGCTTTAGCCATTTGAGGAATAGAAAAGCCTCATAGAAATATTGATAAATGTTAAGTTACCTGCAAAATTCTCTTCACACAGCAGTGAAGGAAAATGTTTTTTTTGGTATTTTTGTTATAGCTTAACAGTATAGTTATAACAAAAATAGTTTTGGATTTTTGGTATAGCTTAATATCCTGATATATTCTTAATAGAGCTTTATATATTGCTGTGGGTATAAAGAGAACTACTAACTTGAGCCCTTCTCAGTTTCTATTTTTGGAAACCCCAGATTTCAGAGAGCAGAGGAAAATGTTGACAAACTTGAACCTCATTGTGTGTCTCATTAACATTTTGGCCTCAGTAAAGTCAGTGCTAAAAATTCAAATTTTAATGTATTTAACTTCTCTTTCTTATTTACCATACAATTATAGATTTGCGTGTATGTCATATTTCTAATAATTGCATTAAAAACGTTCACTTACTGGCTGCTGCAGAGAAGTTGAAATGTTAAAATACACTGCTATTTTTCATAATAGCATTTGTGGGTGTTCTGTTTTGCCCCAACATTATTGCAGTCAGATTTGCAGGGTTTTTTTCCCCTTACTGTGGAAAACTGGAACTCACTTCGTTGACTGGAAACTGAATGACAGTGTGAATTTGAACTTATACTTTAAAACAGTTAAATTGGAGAATGTGAAGTAACTTCTGATGGAGCGACTACATCTCAGTAATATAGTAGATGATGATGGTGGTAATACCTGAGACAGTGATCTGGAGGCAGGCTCTCGATGTGTTTTTGTAAGCGCTTCACTGAAGTTTTGCCTCATTGTTTTCTGTGGCTGTAAAACGTGTACAGCTGCAATACACGTAGAATTCACATGTGATTAGAAGAAGGAAATATGTAAATGTAAAATGCTTTAGGGAAAACAAGCAAATGCAGACCAAAGTAGAATAAAATGGTTTTCCTTCTTTGTCTCCAGTGTGAGCATTTTCAAAATCTGGTTTTCTGTTTCTGTTCAGCTCTGCCTAGAGTTCATACACTGTAGCTCAGGTATATTATTCCATGAATAGATGTATATATTCATAGCTAATTTTGTATTTTCTCATCAGTTTTTGAGACATGGAAAGGTTTTAAGTTCCTGAAAAGCCAAGAGTTTTATTCCTTGTTCTCTGTAGTAAATAGACCTATTTTGCCTGCAGGTAAAATAATTCCATGGTTATAGGTGTACAAAATTACGCTTATGTATAACTGAAGACATTTGGCTTTGCAATTTCCTGTAAGAATTTGCCTACCTTTTTATTATCTGCACTTTAGGAGTGCTATTTGACCAATGTAAAAGTAATCTACCCACAGTAACATTAATTGTATCGTGGGGTCTGTATCACTAGAAAAGATTGCCTCAAATAAAGACATTAATATGAAATAGATATTTGTTTGAAAACAAAGCAATATCTTTCTTGCTTTCATTTTTTTGACAAAGTATTCTTGTTTTTTTAGATGTCACCATAGTTCTTAAAGAATAAGTTATTCTTAAACTTGCAATACATGTTTTGCGTTGACAAGCTTTATTGTAGGTATACACATTGAGTGTATAAGACAAATACTGAAAGCTCTGTTCTTATGGAATTGAGACACTTTTAAATTCTAATTTATACTAGCTGGTTTTAATAACAAAGATTCCTGGTATTAAACACCAGCTTTGTAGCTCATGAAGCATAACTGTACATACTGATATTCCAGAAAGTCATTCTGATCTCATTTTCTGAAAAACTTTAGTAAAGAAATATATTTTTTCTGCTTCTGAGTTTACTAAAAAGGATATTCAGTTTTATTATGCAAACATTTGTTTTTAGAGTGTTTGATAGCTGAATATTACAATAGTGACATAGTGTACATATAAATCATTTTTGCTATGAAGTCAGCTGCTCTAGGTAGATAGGGGACATATGTGCTCCCATCCTTACCAGTACATCTCTGTATTCCCTGCCTATGTTTCTAGGAAGAATTTATTTTGAAATTGATTTACAGCTGTGGTTTATATTGTGCTTCTGTAAGTAGCAGTTAACACTGCTGGTAAGATTCTGAAAGAGGCATACTCAAATAGAAACACATTAATATCATAGCATGAGAGTTATTGTGTTGTTGCTTGGTACAGAAGGCTGGAGAAAATAAAGTAGAAAACTCATCAGGGAAATTGTTTATGTAAAATCATGCAAAATCCTTCTTGACAAAGAATAAGAATTGTTCTTTGAAACACACAATACCTGAAGCACTGTATCAGTTCTTTCTTTAGCGTATTTCAGAATTCAGTTCTGTAGTAATTTAACTTCACACAGTGTTAGGTCTGATGTTTTCACTTTGAAAATTTTGATCATAGAGCAGAACAGTTAAGATTTATAATTAAAAATAGGTTTAATAATTGCTATTTAAGCAATGATATTAAGCACTAGAAAAACAGCTGCATGCTTTTTGTGCAGTTATGTTTCTAACATGGAGGGGGTTTTAAAAGTGCATTTGCCAGACTAAAGTTCTCAAGCATGTTGTTTTAAAACAAACACACAAAGAAACAAACAAAACCAACCCCCCAGGAAACAAAGAAACCAGTATCTCGTGTGATTAAAAAAAAAAAATAAATATTTTTTAATTGGCACTTTAGCGAGAACATAAAAATATGTGTGTAAATTTTCACTGGTGGATTTTCTATTTCCCTGGAATATTTTCCATAAATCTTTATGCTCTTTTGGAGAGTTTTATGTAATGTTTGTTTGTGTTTTACTGATTAACTTACTTTGGCTTCCATATATAACCTCTTCTTCTATGTGTTTCCTTGAATAAATGAGAGGTGTATACCATGCATGAGTCTTTGCTTTGTTGTTGCTAACACTCATGTCAAATATTTTAAATTGTGTGTGTTCTAGCTTCTGAAACACTCAGATTTAATGCTAGGAAAGGATAGCCTATGTTACGTGACAGGTGTTGCCTGTGTATGTTAGTGTTTGGTTTGTTATTTTGTTTGTTAAGTCATTGCTTTATGAAAGCATTTAAAAATCATGCTTGACTTCAACTATTAGTAGTTGTGCTTCAGTAGGAAAAAACACTAATTAATATCTAAGGTGATCTGTATGGATAAACCTTTCCGTGTTACTGGAAGGCTTAGAAACTTGGCCTTGACCAGTTGTGTATAACGCTGTAGGTAGCACTGCAGGATTAGGGCCTCATCGTCTTGTGAATAGTTCATCAAATATGTATTCAAAACCCTCCTTTAGGAGTTCTGAAGTAGTTAAAGAGCTAGTAAAAAATCAAAGCAAATATAGAACCTTATGAGTAGTGTACAGACGCTTGGGAATAAAGGACATCAGACATTCCTGTTGTAGTCACCATGATGGTATGAATCTTAAGGCTCATTTTGAATTCCATTGCATTCCATTTTAAAATATTTTGTTAAATTTTGTGTATATTTGAGAAATGTAGGTAAACTTAATCCCCATCTCAAACAGGAGTAGATATTACAGTTAACGCATTGATATTCTGACTGTCAGTAGCTTCTGTGTAGGTGATTATTTTTTTTAAAGTCATCTGTTGCTTTCAGTACAGTAGTCTCAGGTGGTTGTTACCACTGCTCAGAGTGTTATAAAGCCAAAAGCATAACCAAAGTTAATAGCAGCAACCCTCTTGTTTCCCTCACTTTGAAATGTATAAAATAAAATATTTAAAAATGATTTTTGAAATTGGTTCTGCAGATTTACCTAGATCAGGCAGAAAGCCATAAATAGATGTTTGTTGTAGGTTTTCCAAGTTAAATGCTGCCTATGTAACAAACTTCCTCATGCTTCGCATTTTTTCCTAAACTGTCTGAATATTTTGATGCTTTTGTAAGAAGCTGCATAAAATTGAAACTGAGAATTAGTTAATTAAAAATCAGTGCTAACTCAGTGTATTAATTTGATATGCTTTAAAAACTAAGATTTTGTTTTGAGTTGAAATTAAATCAGTGGCCTGTAATGTTTAAGTTCTGAAGAGCTTGTAATATTTTTTTTTGTTTCATATGTAAATTGGAACTGAATACAAACATGTTCTAAGTTATGTAGTTATCTCAAAGGGTATCCCTCAGGTCAGTTTTGGGGGACTGTTCAAACTCCCTTAACTATGCATTGCTCATTGTTATATTTGTGTTTTTAGAGCTGTTAGTTTTCAGCCATTCTGATTGGTTTATCCTTGCATGTTCACTGTCCTGGTTGCAGCATGAAGCGTGCCAGTTCTCTGAATGTTCTTAACATGGGTGGCAAGGCTACTGAAGATCATTTTCAAGTAAGAAGCCCTACAATACTCTTACAAAAATAGCTATCATTAGTAGGGTTTGGGGTAAAGAGAATATAATGATTAATAAAACAACAAACTCCCAATGAGTGTCAAGAGCCTTCCTCTGTAAGATGCTTAAAACATATGCTTAAGGCATAATTCTGTAACAGTGTTGTGAATTATGCTTCATTTTAAGCAAGTGCTTATGTCCAACCAGTAAAGAGCATTGGCTTTTATGATACCAAGCAGGCTCTGCTTTGGACTTTCTATTACAGTGGATATGAAACTTTTGGAATCATATGTTCTTGTAAAGATAAAATACAGGAACTTGTAAAGGCCAGTTCAGGGTTTATTTACTTCATCCCCTTTATGGCAAAAAGCCAAATCATCTTAATTGCTGTGCATTTTCAGATTCCTTTAAATGCGAACTCAGTTGTTTCTGAGGTTCTGGAGGAGCAGTCTAAGTTTGTCGGATCTGTGCTATGCTTCTGCTAATATAAAACCCTATTTTGCTCAACCGTGAACCATGTTCCCAACTGCTACTCCCCATTTCCTGTTTTTACCTAATAAATCATAGTTTCTTTTGTTGCCAAATGAGTTAGCAGTGTTCTGTGTTCTAAACGCTGTTGTGCATTTTACTAACGCAGTAACTGCAACTAATTCTTAGGAAGATAAAATTGCTTCTTTGTACTAACAAAACTGTAAGTTTTGGATCTTGAGCACTGTTTGTCCTAAAGTAGCAAGAAAACCCAAACTGTATGGCTCTTTTTGCTGTTGAGTGGCATAAAGATGTTTTAACTATATTATCTCTAATGAATGTACTGCAGAGTTTTCTGTCGTGTGACATATATGCATAACTTTACTTAGGGTGAACTTCAGCCAAAAAAAAAATCCAGGGTAAAGCATAATTCTTTGCAGCAACAGTGGCAAGGGTTCAGAATGTTATGCCCTAGGTGCCCCTAACCTGGATCCTTAGTGTGTAACTGATGTGACTTCCAGAAGAGTAATTTGTTGTTTATGTGTACACAGCAATACTAAAATTAGTTTTCACTTCTTGTGAACTTCAGTAGTTCACTCACTGTAGAGAGTCATGGCAATTCCTGTAGATGGGCTCTTGCATTTCTGCTAAGGCATCAGCACTGTAAAGGGTGTATATACCTGTCAGTAGATCTTTTCAGTATCACTATTTGACAGTTGGGGAAAAAGCTGTTTATTAGAATACAGAAAAGTTGTTCTGCCACCCAACATGAGCATGGCCAGTTCTCTGTAGTTCCTTGTATTTGTTTGTTCCTGTTTGTTAAAGCAAGTAATTTTGTTTATTTGCCTGAACTATCTGGACATCTGCTTAATTTATTTGTTTGTCTTTTTCCCCTTCACACAGGAACGAAATAATTGTCTGACAGACTCGAGAGCTCTGAGTGTCAGTCATACTGATTTGGCGCATTGAGAGTCTTGGACAGAAGCTAGCTAATATTCCTTTGTGAATAAAGAAGCACTAAGACCTTCAAAGCTTTGGTTCCTCATCATTATGTATAGGAACACCTAGTTTGTAATTTTGTTGGGTTTTCTTCCATGGACTGCTGGTTTTACCTTTTTGAAATAGGGATGATTTAAACACAGCATTAGTGGTTTTTTTCCTCTAAAGGAAAACTATGTAGATATATATTGCTCATAGCACTGCTCCCATTCATACTATTTACGTTGATTTCTTTAATAGATTGGAATATCACAGCCGCCAAAAAAGTGTAAAGATACAAACATATTTAAAGCATACCAAAATGCATTTGAAAATGCTGTAGCAGTAAATATATACAGTGCTGGAATGAGAAAAGGATACACTGATGTGCATTACTGTATAAATTCAAATTAAGATACTGTATTGGTGGGGCTTTCTTTTGCTCCACTGATTACTGCAATGTTAGCAACCTTAGCTGGCAAAGCCACACGTAGACACGGCTTACTTAACCACTATATTGAGCTATTAAATTTATCAGAAGAGATGGCTGGGGTTGCATTATATAGAGATGGCGTGAATAGCAATATCTGTGACCATGACTTTGATACTTGCTGATGTAAGTCTTAGGGCACAATTATCAATGGAGAGAGGATGGCTCGTGTTGATCAGGAGAAATGGAAGATGTTTTGACCTTTACCTTGTACGGTTGAAGAATACTGAAGTTTTGGACTGCAACTGTCCCAGAGCAGCTCCTGGTGCTCTTGGGGAAACATAAAGCCTCAGGTTGACTTGCTTGTCCACTGGAATTCACAGTCCCATCCTGTTTGTCAGAAGGGCCCCAACATTTCCTTATGCTGATCCCAAATCCTGCCTTTCTCCATGATAGCTGACGAGAGCAGAAGCAGGCAGCTACACACTAGGCTGTTACGTGGTGGAGTCGCTGCTGTGCAGAGGACCACTGAAATCCTAGGGGCCCTAGGGGAAGCATAAGATGGTCGTAAATGTACTCATGGTTAATATATATGCTGTCTGTATACAGGACTGCTGCTGGAACTGAATACGTATGTTTTAAGTATTGTATAGACACTAGTGATTCCTTTTGCTTTTCTGTAAAACTTGTAATTTTGTTCATCTTTTGTAAAAGTTCTTATTCATGTGAAGTTGATTGAGAAAGTAAAAAGTGTGTGTACAAGTGTATTTGTGGTCATAGCTGGGAGTTGGAAAATGACAAAGGAAACTAACTTCGGGAAAAGCTGGAATGTTCATTCAAGGTTAGTGCCAGCTGAAGGAGGCAAAACAAAGGAACATAAGCAAGTTTTAGTGTTTGAGTAGGCTGTGAGGAGTCATTAGTATTTTGTAGAAGTCTTGGACTGATTTTCATTTGAAGTTGGTTACAGTAACTGATGAAATAAAGCTGTGTATGTTATGCACTTAACTATGTTTACCAGGAGGTGTGTACCTGCTAGAAAGACAGTTTAGAAACAGTGAGATGCAATGCTGCTAATGTGTAGGAGTTTTTAGCACAGAGTAATGCAATTCATTAATGAACTCGAGCAAGAACAGATTGCTGCTCAGTTACCTTAACAATATGTACTTATATAATGTAGACTCTTGAGTTTTAAGCTTTTTATTGAGAGCTTTTTATATTAAAAATTACATAATATATATACTTTTATTCCCCCTAAAGTAAGACGTGTTGTATGAACTTGTTGGTGAATCCATTTTCCACCCAAAAGCAGATTGAGCTGGCTCTGCATGAGGAGCTGGACATGGGCCACAGGCCCCTAAGCCAGGGCGAGCTGGGAAGTGACAGAGTTGTCTGTCCCTCTGGCTGCGAACACCCCTCGCAGTTGGCCCATTCCACACCAGCAGGATGGTACTGCTGCTGTAGGAATGTTTCGGTGGGCCTGGTCTGTGAGCTCAGCACTTCACTGGGAGACCCTCACAGGAGTCCAGCTCCCAAAAAAGCCCACAGAACTAGAGGCAGACCTTATTTTGGTAATAAGAAAGTACTTAAATGGAAGATTTTTTTCTACATCGATCTTTCAGCTTTGAAGGAAAATTATTTTTGCAGCCTCTTAACCCCCAACAAACCACCTTGTGTAAATAGCAATAAAATATTTAACCATGCCAAACTACAATGTGCAGGAAGTTTTAAAAGGCATAGTGGGTGGTGGTGGTAGTAAGGGAACTTTCTCGTTCAGGATCTTACTGTTGGTGGCATTACTGGTACTGTGCTTTTAAATGTTTTAAACCTTTATATAGTAAAGTGTGTTGGAAGATTAAGTTGAGCTACTGCCTATTAAATGATTCTTACATTTAAAAGGTTATTTTTATTTTTTTTTTCAGAGAAGAAACAAATTTCAAGACTTCTCTAATCCATATATCACCCAGAATTATAGCCAGGTCCTGATAGTTATGAGCCAGTGAGCTGTTTGAGAAGAACTTGTAAAGTACAAAAGCAAGCTTACTGTGTTTGAATGGTGAATGAGTTACTGTCACGACAATGTTTGTATACATTTAAATTTCAGGTGGGCCTCTTAGTGTGCTTTTATGGAAGAGTTTCTTTCTGAATTTCCCTGTACCAGTTTTAGCTGACAGTGCACAAAGTGTAGACCCAGAATACCCAGTTGCGTAAGTCCTGAATGTCTTCAGTACTGAACCAAATCAACAGCTCTTACGAAACAGAAAACTAAAGACCTTCAGTATTGACAGGCATCTTGTTAGTGTTGGGCTGCTGAGGTTTAAATCTCACAGTTTTGTAAGTGTGAATTTCACCCAAATGAATTTCACCGTGATAAGGACACCAGTTAGGGCACTTCAGCCAAGTTCTCCTATGAGTGATGGCTGGTGGTTCTGGGATATAGCAGTGGGGTGCTGGAGGAATCGTGCATGGAATTGTCACTGAGGGAAGGATGCCCACGGGCCTTCTGTCCGTGTGGTGGTGTGCAGGTCTCTAGGAATTCTGACAGTATTTGGTCTTGAGTTCAGATCTTACTAAATACTATTGTAAAATGTAACTTTCATGATTTGCTCCTCTTCAGAAGGCATGACTGGACTATTGCTGTGATGTTTGTGCTTGCAGTACTGTGGTGACAGAACATAGCACTGAAACAACAGAAAAACTATTTAATGCATTCTCTAAGAGTTTGAACCTTTTCTTAAATGGCATCCCCTTTTCTCCCAAGCCTTCCTGAATGGTAGTAAAATAAAATGGGTTTAAGTTTGAGGAGTATTTGTGCTTAAATTGTACCATTGAATCTAGTAATTTTGAAAATGGTGTGATTCTGTTGTACATAAACAGTAAAAGGGGCATGCAGTACTGTGATGAAAGTGTGTTTACAAAACCTGATGAGTTCAAGTTACTTCACTTTTTGTTCTGCATGTCATGTATTTTGTCTGAAAGCTGCTAAGAGAATTGCATTGTTGGTCATGTTGGCCTGTACTGGGAGAATAAATGTTAAAGAGATGTGATGCTGTGGAGTTTACAGTTTCCTTGTAGTCTCTTTACATTGTCACAGACTTACAGAAGTATCAGTATAAACACTGGAACTGTAAATAGTTTAGAATTGAGGGAAATTTGAACATCTGCATTTGATTATTGCCTCACTCCGATGCACTTGCACTAATCTCAGTGCACTCAGTAGCCAAGGTCAGTAGCTTGTTTAAAAAAAAAAAGGCCAAAAACAACAAAGCAAGAGCAAAGTATGGTGCCACTATCGGATAGAAGGCAGAAGCCAGGAGCTGTTGAGAAAGATGCTCAGCATCTTTGATCTCATCTCATAGTGAGGCTGCAAAACTGTTCTTTAGTTGTAAGAAATCTTATCTTTTAAATAAGAAATACTGAGAGAGCCATAGTTAGAAGCTTCATTTAACATTCAAAGCTGCTCTAACAGTTGTGCTGACACACAGTTGAGAGAGACTAAACATTGTATAGAGCATAGGACAAGTATAGTGAAGTAGTTTTTAAAACCAGATCAATGCTGAGGCTCCATATCTTTATATGCGAGTCCCCACTCAAGCAGGGGAGGTTATTGTGTATTTAGTTTTAAATTATGTAGTAGAAGCACCATGGAGTAGGGGTGGTGGGTGACAGTGGAATTAGGCCAGATGAGTTCTGTGCAATTGGGAACGGTATTTTCTGTTTTCTAGGACCTGGTTTAAGAAAAAAACCCACCACCATCAGAAAGCCATTTGTAATGTCTGTGTATCCTTCTTGGGGATACACAAACTCCTTTTCCCCCCTGAGGTTGTTGAACAACTGAGGTTGTTCAGAGTGTTTTATTACATTTGTTCTGATGATATGTCAGTTGTGTCCATTCTTTATCAAGCACAAATTAGGTTCTACTTTTCCAAAGTCATGTTTCCAGAGCTCTGAGCTTTCTGCTGAAAAAGGCCTCTTTCTATACATCACCAAGTTGTAGGTTAACTTGAAACTGCTTAAAATTTCTCAAATGTCACTTAACATTTTTTTTCAAGGTGTAGAAAAATGTTTAAATGCAGCCTTACAGGATAAAGATGACAAACTGAATACATTCTAGAATGTAATTCTTTGTAAAAAAATATTCATTTTTTTCCTGTACAGTAACAACTCTCCGTTGTGCAATCCAAAGATGAATAAAGCTGTATAAAGGGAAGGTTTTTAACTTGCATTTATTAAGACTGCAGCATGTTTCAGCACTTTTGACAGAAGGCTTCAAAGAGGGTTTGTACCCCAAACGCTATACCAGTGTCAGGTGAGCAACGGTCTGGTTTTTTGACTCTGGCTGTAACTGCAGAAAGGAGTAGGAACTGCAGGTGAACACTAAGCTGCTGCAAGCAGCTCATGACTATGAACATGGGGGTTGCTTGTATTCTAGAGGCTCAGGGTTTGTGTGTGATGATGAGCCAGGAAATGGCCTCTAACTCAGATTTAAGCCTCCAGCTGGAGAGTTAAATAAGAACCAACACAGGCAACATCAGAAGACTCACGCAGGAAAATGCATGTGAGTACCTTCATCTGGCTTACTGTCACACAGAATTCAGCAGTGACTAGAGAAAGCAGATGTCATAGTTGTAGTTGGAAGGTAACAGAAAAAGTTGTGATAGCGCAAAAATGAAAAAAACACATAAAGCTCTAAAAATGCAAATTTAGGAAAAGCAATCACTCCAGGTATGGATGGAACCTGCTACAGCAGCCCTTCAGGAGCACAGCTGAGCAAAGCCGGGGGCAGAAGCTACAGGGGCAGTGATCCAGGGGCTGATCAAGAATATTACCCTGATCCAATGAACCACAGAACAGTGTAGAGCATCTGGAGGAACATGAACAGAGCCCTTGCTCTGAAGCTGCCTGGTGCAGCTTCAGTGGTGGGCCAGCAGAGCAGAACAAGAGGATGGTGCTGTGTGGTTTGTTTTTAACTGGAAGATGCCAAAGAGGCTTTTGCCATGAGGGGAGAGAACCGGAACGCAGGAAAAGAGCTATTTCTAAAAAAACTGACAAAGTTCTGTGAAGCTAGATATGTCCATATAGTACAAAAGCAGTACAATTCTAATTCTTACAGTAAGATGTTAAAATCTACTATCTATGTTTGGGTTTTTTTTAATCCTAATATTAACAAGTTGTTTTAAAATAGGATAGCTGCTTTGTGCTATTTCTGAGACCCTACAGATTGAAGAATGGCTGTACTTAATGGCAGCATGAGGCCCAGAAACACCAGCAGAAAATAGTCACTGGCTGAATTTGAGTCCTTGTGGGTCTTCACACAGAGAAGGTACACTACTGCAGCACATGCTGTCACTAGATTAGCATGCTATTAAAGCTAAATTAGAAATCGGGTCTCCCCTACCATGGGGACAGACACATCACACTTCATTCTGCAGCCTCTGTCCACCCAAAGCTCTACTCTTCAGAATACTTAGAAGAAAAATGTGAACATCCAGGTATAAAGAGATCTTTCACAATGTTAACAACGCCTGATGTAGTCACATAACTGTTTCTGTACTTCAGCATCCATTTCTCTCATCTAGGAAGAATTTAATTTAACCAGTAATTCCTCCTGAAGCAAAGTAGTTTTGGAATGGTTTTGGAGCAGAGTTCTTTACAGTGCAAATAATTTATTTTATTCCTTTTACACCTTCCACTTTTACTGTGTAGCAGCAAGAGGAGGGAGGGAGATGAGGAGCAAAAACTACTCGTAAAGTCCTCACACTTCCAGTGTGGTGTGACACTACTCCAGGGGGTTGCTCAGGCTGTGGTGTTCGGCTGACCATCAGTCGCATTAGCAGTTGATTTGCCCAGGTTATTCCAAGTGCTGGAGAGACACTGTTACCCGCTACACTAGAAAGAAAACATTATAGAGATTTCTGCATGTATGAATTTAATATGAATTATTTACACTTGTAACAAAATTACACTGGAAGCAATGACCTACTGTCTCTGTATTTACTGTCATTTGCTGTATTTAAACTTACAGGTCTTAAAACATGGAGATTAATGGGCTATCCCCACAAATCTACATGCTGGGTTCTCTTTATATCAGGGTAATAATGGGAAGAGAAGTGATTCCATACAGAATAATTCAGTCATTCTTCCAGCTGCAGCCATTGTGAACACCTACCTCTGTCCTGGTGTGTCCCCTCTTGTGATAGGACAATAGTGATACAAAAATGGTTGAACTGTATCTGAACCATGTAACTGTTGGCCTTGGATTCCATTTGCAGGTATATTTAACTATTTATTTCAACCCGAAGTTTAAAACAACTTTTTTTTTTTTCCTTGCAAAGAATGCAATCCTTCCAGTGAAGGAATTACAACATAACCAGGGGTGGGAGGAGGAAACTGAACCTTATTCTTGTTCTGTGTCACTTTCTGAATCTGGAGGACATTAAGTTCTCGCAGAAACGCATTTATTTAGCACCTACCTATCTAGTAACTCTAGATTACAGTTAGGCTTCAAACAAGAAATATGTATGTTTGAATCCTGTTAATACCTTTGTGTCAAAGAGGCTTTTTATCTTAAGCAACAAAATCAACCAGTAAGGTTTAGTTGCTGTATTTTTTTTAAGAAGACATAAAATGCACTCAGTTATAGTCACAGAATCACAGAATGGTTTGGGTTGGAAGGGACCTTCAAGGTTGTCTAGTTCCACTCCCCTGCCATGGGGGGACACCTTCCACTAGACCAGGTTGCTCAAAGCCACATCCAGCCTGGCCTTGAACACTCCCAGGGATGGGGCATTCGCAGCTTCTCTGGGCTACCTGTTTCAGTGTCTCACCACCCTCACAGTAAACAAGTTCTTCCTAATACCTAATCTGAATCTATTCCCTTCTAGGTTAAAAGCCATTCCCCCTATCACTACATGCCCTTGTAAAAAGTCCATCCCCAGCTTTCAAAGACAAGCTATCAGAGATGAGAAGCAAAAATATTCTTGCGTAAAAAAGTACAATGCCCATTAACTTCTTCCCTCTAGCTGCTGATTCGGGATTACCACATAAGCATATATGACAGTTTCTTCCACTTTACAGCACATTAGTTATTGCTAATCTCCAGCAAATGGCAGCAATGCTGGGTAAATGCATGCCACTCTTAACACGCTCTGGTAGATTATATTGGAGTTATAAAAAATACAGTGGTTAAATGCTGCTGTGGATGACACTGTTGCATTTCTGTTGCAGATGACTTACTTACCTACAACTGCACTGAGCAGCTTCTGACTCACTCACTGCATCAGTCACCTAAAACAGAAAAACGACGGTTGAAGCTGACCTGCAGTTCTGCATTGTTTTTTAGCAAGCAGAAGGACAGGGAAGGCAATGAAGCTACGAAAAAACAAGTTACTGGATCACATGTTAAGCCAAGTTAGAAAACCCTTATTCTTTCCAGGCAAACTAAAAGGAAGTTGTGAGGTATAATCTTAGTTTACAGTACTACAACTATTTAGCTAGCTACAGGTTATATGAATTTAAATAATACTAGATATTAAAATTGTTAAAAAAATCGGTTAAAACATTACTCCTAACTTAAGGCTGAAATTTAATCCTTACTGAATCTTAATGGGATTCTTACTGAAAAGAAAAACACTATACATGCCTGAAAGCTGTTCTGATTACTGCTAGGTATGAATTCCAATACACTCCCCTCCAGTTATGGTAGTAAATACAAGGTTTTACACCTTGCATGTTCCGTAATTCCAGAACTACTCCTAGAAACAAATCAAACAAGTAACAGTTGACTTGATGTTTCTAGAACATCCTTCTTCCCGATATAAAATCCTTCTTGTTTGTAACTTCTTTAGTTCAACTTTTGCTCCTACCCCATTCTCCTCTGCTGTGAGGAGGAAACTTCAGGACTGAGTACTTACTCACTGAATGGAGGGGCCCACTGGAAAGGGAGTGTCCCAGCAGTGGATTGCCTGCACATCTACTTATCCCTTTCTGAGGCCACATTCCAAGTGTCAATGCTTTATCTCCAGCATGCGCATGCTCCTTCAATTTGTGATTAGGCTAAGAGCAGTGGCATGTGACTTCTACAGGACAGATGTAGCATCTTGTCTAGTATTCTCAAAAGACTATTACTCTTGACTAGTACTATTGTGGGGTTTTTGGTTGCATGTATTCTAATGTTTTACTAGTCTCAGCAGTTACACAGAAGTGCTGAGCTTCACAAAAATGCAGCACGGTCCTTGGTGTTTCACTGCCTCCCGTGTATGTGAAATAATAACTGTTCCCAATGGCAATGGCATTTGAAGTTAGCGTTAAGAACTCCTGTTATTTTAGTTAGATGTTTGGCGCAGTTGCTATACATATCTATTTTCATTAGCTTTAATGGTCAGCCTTTGAAGTCATTAACAGTCTAAAAAACCTTAAATTATACTCTTTGAGAAGTTAACAGTTATTAGTTTAAAGTACACCAGTTTAATCAAGCTTTAGTTTCCATCAGTCAATAATACTCAGTTGGCAATGTTAAATATAACACCAAGAAATTTGCATACACAGATTTCTTCCTTCTCAACCATTTATTAAACGATCCCTCTAAACTAAGCAGCAGTTTTCATGTCATACCTGATTAATACACATTATTGGAGTCCTGAATCTAGTGCTTAAACTGTGAAGCTGTGCTCCAAATGTCTGCAAATACCGAGCCTTCGTAACAGAATCTGAAGCTCCAAATTCGCACCGAAATAAGGCAGCTATAGAATCGATGACCACCAACCGCACCATGCCTCTTGTAAGCAGCAGGGAAATCCTTTTAGTAATGCAGTTGTGAAAGGCATTCTACCACAAAATACAGTCAGTATTAGAACAGTTCAAATACCTCTGTTTGTAAAATTGAGGTAGTAACTACAGATAGCATTGCTGAAGCAGAAGCTGATGGAGTTTCTAATCATAAAGTGAGTTTGTGGAGCTTTAAGCCTCACCAGTAACCATTTTTCACAAACATCTTCTGCTTTTACCTTAAGAATAAAGAGATCTGGTCATTTAGAATCATAGAACAGTTAGGGTTGGAAAGGATCTTAAGATCATCTAGTTCCAACCCCCCTGCCATGAAATTAACTGCGTGTACAGTTATCTGCAGCTCTGACTTGAGGCAGCTGTTTACTAACATTTCAAATCTCAAGAATGCAATACTACTGTCCTAAGCCATTCTATTTTGCAAGAGTGGTTCTCACTGAAACACTGAGGACTCAAGACTAATATTAAATATTTAAAACCAAAGTTATAGACTACATTACTGTTCCATTAAAAATACATTAACAGTAAAATACACAGTTACTACATCAAATCCATATTGATCAAGAGGCTTGATCAATGAACACTGCAACTTACATCCTCCCTCCCTATTACGAGTTTTACTAATTTAATATTTTGAAGCCACCAAACATTTCAGTTGTGGGATCCTTAACTAACAAATATTTTGTAGAGCTCAGCATCTATTATATAATAAGGTCATTGTAGCCTGGTGCTTGTCTTTAACAATGTGGCCTACAGCAGCTGAGTGGAAAGAATAACAACCTCACGGTGATAATCTCTGCCTCTAGCCATCAGGAATTTCAGCGTTGGCAAGAAAAAAAATAATGTGAGGGTCACACTTCTGACTGGTGCCACTCTTTACATCAAAGAGAGGTTCACAGCTAAGAGCTTACATTCAGCCAAAATCACATAAAATATCCTCCAGCATTCCACAGCTTTTAGAGTTGAATTGGAATTCTCCAGTCTGAGTTACAGTAAGTTCTATTCTACTGAATGAGCAGCTTTCTACAAAATAATATTATAATATCAAAGGCTTTTCTTTTTTTTTAACTGATGGGAAAGAGTTGCTCCGAAGAATACACAGCTACTTCCCATTCTGGAAAAGGGATTTTTTTGTTGTTGTTTCTTTTGTTTCACTTACTGATATATCTACAGGAAACTATGCAGCACTTCAAACACTTCTGTGTTGTAAGTGGTCCTTCTGTTTGTACAAGACTCATTCTTTTCAAGTGAATACACAAACAACTGGATTCTTCAGCATGAAGCAAGTAAAAACAACTTTGGCATGAAAGAAAATGCAGACTGTAATTGTGACTTGGGTTTCTACTTCAGCTGCTGTCATCTGCCTATGTATATGGATACACACACAAAACCTGAATCTATATATAACAATATATGAATTGTAACCATCTACTGTGCAGTTGCTGGACTTACCAGTGAGTGTAATGGTTTACTTTTAAAGGTATCTTAGAGAGATGTACATACTAGTATAGGGCAGTTCTCTCATTTATACAATAACATACTCTGTAGCTTCCAGATACTACAATTAGAAGTTTAAGACTTCCAGTGAAAGGGACACGGAGAAGGTAGCTTAGCTGCTGAATGGACTAAGCTTACTGATGTACAGGATCTTCTTACACTTGCAAACTACAATTCAAAAAAACCAACAATTGGAATGATTTCAGAAATGCTACTTGCAAGCCTTAGAGAAAACAGAACTTCAGGAGCTCTATCAATAAAGAGCATTATTAACAGCTACCTAAGAAAAGCACAACAAAGGGCTTTTACAAGGCAAAAATACAGTACTCAGGTTGTATATTTTCCCCTCCAGTTCTACTATGCCATCTTACAGGTAAATGGGCAAGAGGTTTTAATAAACATAATGACTTATAAAAATTCACTATATTATTTATTCTTTTAAAATACTTGCATTTTAATATACTTCATAAAAAATACTGTAATAGTTCTTTAACAACAAATGGGAGAGATTAAATAGTATTCACTACACATCTTAGATCACTCGACCTTTTGTAAGGTCTCCTACTTGAAGAAAATCACCCTGAGGTTACTGGATTATAGTGTAATAATTGTACATTCTTAATTTGTGTTACTACTTACTAGGTCTGCTGCATGTTCAACAAAAATACTGTTTCCAAATTTGATCTTCTGTATGACTTCAGCTGGAACATCTGCTCGCAGCTTATGTTGTTGATCTATGAGTTGTTGCAAACGTTTACTTGGGAATACATCTTCTGTACAAATGTAGACAGCTCCTATAGTCAAGGAAAGCACCTCTGTTATTACAACAGGGCTCTTACACACCCTTTGCTTAACAGCACAAAAATAATACACTCTGCACCCAAAAGCTAGACGTGTACCTGGAAATTCATGTTACTGTTTTTTGTAGCCATATTGAATCAATTATGAACAACAAAAAACCCACTGCTATGACTTTCCCATAGTTGCCAGTTCCTTTTTTTGGTGCCTGCTGATACAATTGGGTTTTTTGTACTCTCCACTAGGTGACACTCATCTTGCACATCGGTGGAACACCTCAACCATCTCTATCGGGTTATTACAGGTATCATAATTTATCCAATCCACAAACAGAGCAACACCTCAGAGTTTGCCTGTTCTGGTCAGAAATATAAAACACAGCACTATACTGTGCAGAAAATGCCAACACAGTGCAAACCGTATTTTGATCACTTTCACTCACTGTTTTTAAGATTCTTGTTTTAAATTTACAAGTGGAGGGGTACTTATTGCTACAATGGGTCTGTTTAAAGAGGATCACTCATCCAATCTCAGTCCAATTAACTCTTCCTGAAAATGGTAGATTAGACAAGAAGTATTATACTTCAATCCCATTACTGTGACTGATAGCTATGTATTTCTACTGTGGTTTCTGGTTAACAAGTATGTGTTATTGCAGAGAAAATTAACCACATGCATCAAAGATGCTGGGGAAATCAAACACATGCAATATTTATTAAAAAAAAAAAAAATCGTTACTGTTATTGCAGAACTACCTGGAATTATCAGCTAATACTTGAAGGGTTACATTTAAGGATTAAGTCCACTCACTGAAGTGACTGACGCTGCTAACACAGTTTAGCAGCTGATGTGCTTGGCAATCTGTGATATCCTGAACATTTCCACCCCAATGGTGGAAAGTCCCATTTCCAGAAGCAACTTCCAAATCCTCTATATGTTCCACTGAAAAAATTACGAAAACTGTATCCAACAGCAGGAACGGAGAGATCTCAGGATGGGATCAAGTGAAAATCAAAAGTTACTTTATCTATAAAAATATTTTTTGCTGATGGACACCTGTATAACACAGGGTATTGAATTCTGAGAATGTAAGACAATGATGAGGCTAATAATTTTGACAGCTGAGATTTAAATAACTTCCTAAATTATTGTCACATGGAAAAATGCTTCATCATCATCCATGCCTTCCATAGGAGGTCCTGAAATATTTCCACAATTTCTATTTTCATTCTACCTAATAACAGTTTCAAGTTATACTTCAGCTCATTTTTACTTTCTTTGGCCCTGGCAGCTAATAGCACTTATCACTCAAATTCAGCCTCCATTCTTAACTGCCCAGTTTCATTGTGTATATACTCATGTCCATGAGGGGTGTTAGCAGTTTGTAACATTTGACAGTGAATAAGGACTACAATAAAGCATTAGCAGTCAGAGCCATCATGATCTCATCATGATTCCTGAACTACAACATACAAAAAACTTAAGAAGTTGAACCAGGAATACATTCTGTATTTTGCCCACTTTTTTTCCTAGCACTTGAGTGGACGGAATGAATGCTGTCTTCAGTAATTACAACTGAAGTAATTCGCAATACCTGTAGACACAAATGAGTGCAGGTACAAGGTTCTATCACTAAAGGAAAATTTTAAATAAATAAATGAATAAATGAGCCCACAGTTACTTGACTCCATTAAGTTTACAGTGACGATCAGCAGCTTCTTAAATAGTGCCTGAACTTGGATGAAGCTCAGGCAAGGAGAACACAGTAACCTATTAATTATATCACTTAACTGCTAAAGGCTTTTTAAGTAGCTAATTAGTAAACAATTAATTATGTGAACCTTAATTTTCTTCACTATTTCCCTAGGTTAATTTCTCCTAATTGGAACTAATTTTCCTATTCCTTTCCAACTTGACAGTGACAGCTGAGTATCAAATAGGCAGGTGAGCATCTTTACTAAGGACTTTACTACTGCTTCCCTATCAGGTTTCAGTTTCACAATTTCTAAAAAGCTACTAAGTCAAGAAAAATGTCTAATCACAAGGTATATCCCGTACCAACACTCACTCAGAGCAGCAATTATGTCTTGAAACACACCACAAAGCTGAAAATCACAACGGTGCAAATTAAAAACCAAGTAAACAAAGAAACAAAGAAAACCCACCAAGATATGCAGCTTCCTTAAGTCCATGTTGCTTCTGAATTTCATACTAACAAAAGCTGTGCTAACTTGTGTTGAGATAATTCCTAAGTAAATGGATTTCTCAACCACCATTCTTACTCACAGCTGACTGCCTTTTGCACAGTATTGCCTATTTCTGAAAGACAGGGACTTCTTTACCGTGAATAGTGGCTTACAGAGAAATCATCTGCTTTTTAAAAATCAGACCTGCTTCTAAGTGGTATGTCCCTTGTCCTCTCCTTGGTTTACCTAGAAAGCACAGAATGTCTACTACTTGAGACTTCATGGTGTTTTTTTAAACCAGATTTGTGTTTCTACATAGATAGGTACTTCACTGATTGAGTAACTGTATTTCAATCCAGAGTTATTGCAACATTCAAACATTTCAAAACAGAGAATTTTTCCCAAAATTAATTTATCTAGTCAAAAAGAAACATAAAATTCTCCTTAAGATCTTTGTTGCAGATAATTTCAGTACAGTAATAAGAACAGTGGTAAGAACAAACATTATGGCAAAAAGCAGAAGAGTACAAAACAATCAAGCAATCTTACTGTGATACAAACATATATGCAGCTGTGGCCAGGTTTCATGTTTATACCTGATGAACAAGAAATTCGAGGCTAACAAGATAACCCTAAAGCGGTAATACCTGTAAGGAAAAAAAGAACTGCTGGAGAAGCAAAAAACCGGTCCTCTCTGCTCCACTGGTCCAGCAGCCTATATTTAAAAATCCTGATCAATAGATACACACTGACCTCTTTGTAAAACCATGACAGCAATTCTGAAGTTCAAGTGAGCTCATTTAGTCAGGTTAACTGTTTTTACTGAAATACTTGTTAATAATAAAGAAAAATAATCAAGAATTCCTTCTTAAGAACAGTTCTACTTCATAGAGTATTCTCTGCCTCGGTTTAGTTTTGTAAATACCAGCATTCACACCTGCCAACCTTGCATTCTTCTGTAGCGCTTCTTTGACATCAGGTAAATCCACTACAGCAGATATTGTACTCTGAATACATAACTGTTCAATTTGTGATGGACACAAGGACGACCTGTTTTTTCTTGAAGTGCTGCCCATTCCACGAAACGAGTATGTCATCTGCATCTTGAACTTTTAAAAGTTAAACGACATAAAATATATCAGGTGAGCTTTGCCTCAGCTGAAAATTTGAGTTGCACAGTACAATAAGAATAGCGCTCTCTCCTACTGAACCTTCATCAAGCCTTCTCAGTTTTTATTTGAAGCACAAACTTCAGCTTGCGCCACAATTTAATGTTTGATTAACACACCTATGCATAAAAATGTAGGTACTTCATAGCAAAATTACAATGGCTAGAAAAGATTGACAAATACCTAAACTCACTATTAAAGGCTGATGCCTAATTATGAGGCAAAAGCACTGAATATTCATGTATCTTTAAAGATGAATGAATTGCCATAACCTTAATATCAAGAGGACAGTAGTACAAGGCAAACAGAAAAGCCTATGACATTGTGCTATTTACAGTTTATTAAGAAGTTGTCAACACTAATGAGTCAAGAGTCAGGGTTGTTACCACTTTTGAGAAAGAAGCTGAGAGAAGCTCTTAATGAGCCAGTTGTCCTCAGTAATTCTATAAACATTATTCCTCACAAAAACTTTTGTTTTGAAGCAATTGCATCAAATCCCAGGGCTCTACTTTCAGTTACAGTGATGGAAGTGCTACCCTGGTTGTTGACCAAAAACCACCCTAAAGCAAAACAAAAAAAACACACCAAAAAAAACCCTCCCTCAAGGGACAAATTTTGAGTCCTGTGAACCTGATTTGTCATGCACCAAACCAGCCTGTTACAAAAAATCAGTAGCAGACTTTTTCTAATTCAGAACTCTAATATTGATCTGAATTTGTCATGTTATATTCATACATTACTTATGAATATAAAATAAATTCAGCCAGCATGCAATTGACCATAACTGACATTCTTAGAACGGCAGAAAGAGAACCTGGAGGCAAAGCATGTCCTAATTTCTGTTTGCTGCCAGCATCGTAGCACTTCAGAATTGTAAGCAAGATTAGCACTAAATCAAATGAAGGAAATAAACAATAAATCTATACTGTCTAAAGAAATGTATTTCAACATCACCACCTAAGGGAAGTTTCTAGCACTAAAACAACCCCAAACACAATGAAAACCAACAGCAAAAGAACACAAACAGCCCCCTCCAAAAAAAAACCAACATAATTTTATATCTGTAGCAAAGTTGTAGCACCAAGATTAATCTCTTATTGGTAGTGTCAGACTTCTGTGATAGTGACTAAGCATTGTTGTTGTTCTCAAGCTTTCTAAAGAATAAAACTTCTCATACTTAATGTTTTTAGTTCCTGTGTTTCTCATGAGAGACTCAACACAAACCCTTATTTATAGACTGAAGCAAAACCAAGTTTCATTTTCTGTGTGCTATGTAAACAGTATCTGCTGCTATGACTGTATGCCTTATAACATATGGGAAGCTGAGAGGAAGCAGCACTCCTTGCTCCAGGACCAAAATGTGAAGGGGCCTCAAGCGTCCATTGTAGCTCATGGAGGAAAGGAGGCCGCTAACCCAGGAAGCTGGGAAACAGTAACAAAAAAAAATAAAAACAAAAACAAAAAGGAGGAAGAGGACAATTAAAAGCCAGGGGCTTCCTCCTAAATCTGTTGTCCCCACCCAGAACCGCTTTGCTGTCCTGCAGGGGGCTGATGAGGAAACATGAACAACCGGCTGATGCACTGCTAAAGATCTCTACTGGTGCTGCCAGGAAAACAGCTGCGGATCATAGTGGCAGGGGA